GTGCGTGGACAGTGCTCCACTCGCCCAGTGGGATTTGGTATTGGTCTTTCTGCTGTCCCTCTGTGCTCCAGCCCAGGAGCAGCACTCAGTCCCTCACCCAGGCTACCCATGTGTGTGCTGGCGGGGAGACATTGCTTGGTGCCATCGCTAATATGAGGCAGGGGAGAGCTTCCCTCTCTGCCCACATAGACCCTTGCCCACTTTCTGCCATCCCTGAGCAAGATCCTTCTGGTTCTGCAGCAGCTCACTTCTAACCAGGTGGCTCTGGGTCCTATTTTCCTGACCATTTCTCTTTCAGGTATGACCTCCCTTATCTAACACCTCCTGTGAGCCAGAGGCTTTTCCTAACCAGCTACCTGGCTGCTTACTTCCCCCTCCTCTCCCTGCCGTGCTCCCTGTGCTGCGGCAGACGTTGCACAGACTCCCTCTGAGACGGTCGTGCAGGATGCTTGCCAGCTCCAGAAGATCTCAGGGCAACATAGGTCATGCAGGAGCGGGACTGTGGGCTCCCCAGGAGGCTGGCTTGGTCACTGGGCCACAGCATCCAAGCCTGGGTGGAAAGGTTCAGAAGGAAGAACTCAAGCCGTGAAAGCTGCCTCTCTCCCCCAGCGCTCACAGGCTGCTGCCTTTGACCACAGCCCTTGGGGGATGAAGAGCTCAGCATCCTGCTCCTCTTCAGTAGTGCCCAGGGGCCTCTAGGTTTATGGGCACCAAAACACTCCTGAAGCCACACAGTTTTTAAAAGAACTCTTTCTAACAGCATCCAGCTGCCAGCCTTACGGATTGTACTCTCCCTGCCACCCAGGGCTCCACAGCCAGCCAGGCACATACTGTCTGGTGGGGAGAGTCTGAGATTTATGGAGAGGGATGAGTCCATGTTAGAGCTTCAGCCCAGCTAGTAGCCTTATCTTGAGAGGGTCTTTATAACAGAGCCTTATCATTTAATTTGCATATATTTCTATATATTATATATACATGTTCTGTACTTAAATACTCTCATGGACTCACTCCATTAAATTCTAATACTGTAAGTGCAGCTGTCCTTCACTTTCAGTCCAGCCCAGCGTCTGCTCCTGTGGGGGCCAGCACCTTCCCTGTTGCTGGTGCTGCCGTGGAGCAGGACTGGGAGCTCAGTGGAGGGCCAGACCAGCAGCAGGTTCTCCATCCCGCCTTGTTTCCTGTGGAGCTGTGCCTTTGCTGTGGCACAGAGAGCCAGTCCTGCCCAGACCCAGCTCCATCCCTGGGAAGCCTCAGCTCCTGCAGCCGCCCGTCCCCACGGTGCTGCAGGAAGGGGTTTCTCCAGCCCTGGGACCACCAGGACATTGGGCTGTGATGGAGGAGCATAGTGGTGCGGGCAGGCGGGGTGCCTCCTTGCTGCCCCCCAAGGAGCAGCTGCCCTGCTGCTGTCCCCCAATTTGAGCTGGTCTAATGGGCCAGCACTTGTTGGAAGCAAACGAGTCCTGCTGGGCAGTGGAGCAGGCTGTTGTGCAAGCTGGTAGGGTAGTTCAGTGGTGGTGGGTCCTGCTCCCAAAGGCTCCCTCAGGCTGTGTCTCATGTGGTGTTATGTCGAGAAAGGGGTAGAGTCAGGTGCTGTGGGGTGCCCCAGAGCAGAGGGTGAGATGGCCCTGGTGCTCTGGGGTCACAAGTTGTGGAGGGATGAGATGCCTGAGCCCCCAGGGCAGGGCACAGGCAAGGCTGCATGCCCGTGTGAAGCATCCTGCCCAAAACAGGGCTTGCTGCAAGGACAGGGATGGGGCTGTTGTCACTGGCAGGGAGGGGATGCAGTGGTGAGCTGTGCAGGGAGGTTGGAACCAAGGCAGTGGGTGGGGGCACAGGGCTGTGCAGTTGGCTCTGGTGGGCTGGCAGAGGTGCAAAGCAGTGCCCACACCAGGGACTGGGCAGTGCGAGCCTCACGGCCAGAGGTCTGGGGTCTTGTGCTGCAGCAGTGTGGGGTGCTGTCCTTGCCATCCCCTCTCGCACCCGGAGTGCAGTAGCAGTGGCATTGGTGTTAGGCTGGCTGTGAACATGCTGGGTGCCAGGCTGCTTGTATGACCGTGGTGAGGGGCCACAGCCAGCTGCAAGACCCAGCTGGACCCCCTCTGTTATCCCAGTGGCAGGATGGGCGGAACGTGGCGAAGAACAAAGTTTTGGCCTGAGGATGAGGTCAGGAATACCCAGTGTGGGGGGAGCTGGAGGAGGGAAAAGGCAGGACGAGGGCAGAGCTGCGGGCCCTAGGTGCAGGTAGCAATGGCTACCGGGCTGGGTGCTTGGGCTGTGTTTGGGAGCTGGGATGCTGCAGGGAGGGGAGCAGGCTGGTTAACGCTCTGGTAACCATGTACTGTGGTGCTGCTGTCCTTGCTGCTTCGTGCCATCTCTGCTCTGGAAAGAGAATAAATTTGTATTTATACTGAGACCCGTATTGGTGCTCCGGCCTCTTCTATCCGTGCACCTTGGCTGAGTCAGCTGCTGGCACTGTGCCTTCCTGGCACCCCTCCTGCAGGGCTGCTGGGACACGGATGTCCCTGTGCCACCATGGCTGTCCACACCATTTGCATCAGAGCAGAAGCTGTGAGCAAAGCCCCAGGCTCCCCAGACCCAAGTACATCCCCTGACCACCACCTTCCTTCGTCTTCTTCCAGCAAAGTCTGCTCAGGGCCACATGGCAGCCTGAGGGCTGGCATAGGGCTGTGTGGGGACAGACCCTCCTCTTCACCCAGGAACTTCTGCTGCAGGAATCCCTTCAGCCCCAGGAAGGATGTAGGCAGCAGTGGGATGCTTGGCGAGCAGTCTTCTCCCTCCATGCTTTCTCCCTGGAGCCCCATTAGGTCTCCAGTCCCCGGAAGGTGTCCGGGTGCCTCTGCCCCAAGTGCTGCCCATGTTCCCTGTGTCTCTGTGGCACAGTGAGGGGCTCAGCTGAGGACTAGCCCGAGATAAGGCTGGGGGCTCTCAGACCCTTCCTGACACACAGGGTGCAGCCCAGCCTCAGCTGACAGTGAAGCCTGCCCAGGACTTGTAGGGCTGGACTTGCTCTCACCCCTGGCTGGAAGGGCTGGTGATGCTGGGCAAAGGCCTCACATGGTGCTACTGCAGGGAAGTATGGGGACAGCTCTCACCAGAGATTCAGGAGCTTAAATGCAGGTGAAATGCAGCCTCTTTAACTCCCCCTCTCGAGGGTAGAGCAAAATGCCCCATCCGTGTGCCACAGGCTCCAGGGAAAGGCAGGAGGTGCGGGCTGTGATCAGGAAAGCCAGTCACGTCCAGGAACAAATCCAGCACATGGTGCCAGGGAAGAGCTTTTATTTCTCAGCCAGCAAAGCTCAGCAGGGTCCAGCTGAAAGGCGCTGGAGCCGACGAGTCAGGGCAGGGAGGCAGCAGGCGCTGCTGCACAGCGGGGCTGGTGGTTCTGGTGACAGCAGGGTGAGGACAGCATTGTTCCCGTGTCACTGCAGGGCCAGTCCCCAGCCCTGGGGCTACCTCTCAGGTTCCAGCAGCCCCGCTGCCTGTGCTGTGCCTCCTTGTCAGTGGTCCAGCAGCCTTTCCCCCATCCAGAGATAACTGTGGCCCTGAGCTCTCTGTTCTTGCTGCACTGCCCTGGGGGTGCATTACCCCCTTCCCTGGCTGCTATGGGGCAAGGGGGTACTTCTGCCCCTCCACCCAGGTCCTTGTCTGCCACTGAGCGCCCAGCCTGAAACACTGCCCCAGGGGTAAAGCTGCCTCGGGGTTGGGGGGGATGTTGCCTTCCCCAGCATTTCCTTGGCTGCTGCCTTCTTGCTACTCCCTGCAGCTCCCCGTTTCCACTGTTTCTCTGGGTATTTTGTCCTACAGCTCTGGGGGCCCCTCAGTTGGCCCCAGACCCTTGCTCGGGGGCTCTGGATCTGGGGCTTTGCTCGGCTCAGCCCCAGCCATGCTCTCTGTTCCAGCTCCCTCTGTCCCCCTGGCTCCCTGCTCCAGCCCCTGCCCCAGCCCTGCTGCCTCTGTCCCTGCTGCTGCCTCATGTTGCCCTACAGCCAGCTTTTCCATCTCTGCTGCTGAGCTCTCCACCACCCCCTCCTCCTCATCTTTCCCCTCCACCCCCTCCTCCTCTTCCTCCTCTTCCACCCCCTCCTCCTCTTCCTCCTCATCCTCCACTCCCTCTTCTTCCACCACCACCCCCTCCTCCTTCTCTTCCTCCTCTTCCACCCCCTCCTCCTCTTCCTCCTCATCCTCCACCCCCTCTTCTTCCACCACCACTCCCTCCTCCTCCTCCTCCTCTTCCACCCCCTCCTCCTCTTCCTCCTCCTCCTCATCCTCCACCCCCTCTTCTTCCTCCACCACCCCCTCCTCCTCCTCCTCCACTTCCTCCTCCTCCACCACCACCCCCTCCTTTTCCACCACAACCCTCTCTCCCTCCTCCCCCTCCCCCTCCCCCTCCCTCTCCTCCTCCTCCACCTCCTCCTCCTCCTCCTCTTCCTCTTCCTCCACCCCCTTCTCCTCTTCCTCATCCACCTTCTCTGCTCCCCAGGTACCCAGGGCTGCTTCTTCCTCCAGTCCCATCCCATCCTTTGCTTCCAGCTCTGTCCCCTCAGGCTGCCCCTCGGCTGCTTCTCCTGGTACTGCCCCTTCACACTCAGCCCCGGGGCTCCCTTGTTCTGCTTGATCAGCCTTTGGTTGTTCTTTGGTCCCTGCACCCCGCTTCCCTTGCGCAGGGGTCTCTGGGACCCCAATCTCACCCTGGGGTCCCTCTTCCTGCCACATCATGCCGTCACCCATGTCCTTCCTCGCCTGCCCTGTGCTGACCCGTGGCCCCTGGGGTGGCTGGAAGAGTCCATGGTAGCGCTTCCGATCCTCCACATGCTTCTTCCTCATCCTCTCCCCCAGTTGCTTCAGCTCCTTCTTCACGGCCGCTGCCATGGAGGGGTCGAGGTGAGCCACCCGCAGGAAGTCCTCCCGTGCCTCCCGCTCATTCCAGACAGCAGCGTGAGCCTTCGCCCGCTTGAAATAGGCCTTGGCGTTGTCTGCCGGGAGAGGAGAGCCCCAGCGGGGGTCCTGCAACTCAGGGCCACCAGCCACAGGAGCTGGAGACCCTGGGAACCCCGGGGACGCAGAGTGCAAGTATCATCACAGGCAGGGGAACATGGGGTGAACACCCTTGTAGGTAAGGGGTACTGTCATGGGCAGGGGGACCTGGGCCATGCACATACCACTGTGGGCACCAGGGGACATGGTGTGCAGGGATCATCATGGGCAAGGAGAACCATGGTGGGCAGGGGGATCTGGATGATGCGGGACAACACCGGGGCCAGGAGGACCTAGAGGACACCGGGTACAGGTGCCATCATGGGCAGGGGAAACCAAGGATCTGGGACACAGGTTCTGCAGTGGACATGGGGATGCAGATGACCTGAGTCAGCACAGACAGAGGGATGTGGGATGAGCGTTGTCATGGATGGGGGACCCAGAGGACAAAGTCCATGGGGGTCATGGGCACAGTGGGCGGGTGGGGTACCTTTGTGTTTCTGGAGGAGCTCTGTTGTGTGCTCCAGCACCTCGTAGTACTCGCCCAGCTCCATCTGGCACTGGCAGTAGTTGAGCACCAGCGGCGTGACCAGGCTCTCCAGCTTCAGCCAGCCATCCTCCCACGGCTTCTCCTGCCCCGGGGAGCCGCAGGGGGTGGTTCACGGCTGTAGCCATCCCCTCCCGGGCACCCAGGGTCCACAGGGGCATGTTTGCTGAGGAAACCCAGGCCAGAATGACAGGAGGGGGCCAGGACCTGCTCACCTTGGCCTGGAGATTCCTCAGGCAGATGACAGCCTCCTGGTACTTTGCCGCTGCCTGCCCAAACTCCTTGCGGAGGACGAGGCGGTTGCCCTCGCTGTGCAGCACAGGCACTGCTGCCAGCTTCTCCTCCTTGTTCATGGCCCAGGTGTCACGTTTGTACGCCGAGGGCTCCTCCACCTGCACAGGCAGCAGGAGCTGAGCTGCCTGCCCCAGCAGTCCTCGTGCTGGCAGCCATCCCCGCCATCCCCCTTACCCGGAACAACTCCATGATGAAGATGAGGGGCTGTGGCGTTCGCTGCAGCTCATCCAGGTCGTCATAACCCGTGCTGTGGTAGTCAAACATGCTGCCCATGCCACAGCGGTGCTTCTGCCCTTCCAGGGGATCCTGGCCCTCTGCAATCCTCCGCATGCCCCTGGAGACCAGGGCATACATGCCTGTGTGCTGCAAGGAGGGGGAGCACCCTGCTCAGCTGCATGGGACCAACCTGCACCCTCTTCCTCTGCAGCAGCCCCCCCTGGTGCTGTGGCTAAGTGACACCTGTGCCCCCTGCGCTTGCACCAGGCAAGGCTGGAGCATCTCAGGGGGGCATGCTCCTGTGCCCTGGCTCTGTAGAAAGGAGGGGAGTGGGTGCCCACAGGCCCCTCACTCACGATGGCGTCGCACCAGAACTCGGCCACCTCCCCGACTCTCATGGAGCTGAGCAGCGTCTCCCAGATCTCCAGCTTGAACATCTTGCCCACGATGATCTCCATGGGGATGCCAGCTTCCCGGCTGTCGTCGATCACCGTCCGCTCAAAGTCATCCTTCAGAGTCTGGAAGTGGAAGGTGATCTGTCCCAGAGAAAGCTCAGTGTCAAGCCAGGGCAGGCACCACAGTGAGAGCCCTCCGTCTCCTCACCAGCCCCGAATCCCTCTGCCATGGGGACAAGCCTGCTCCTGGCGAGGTGCTGGTCTGATTGGCAGCTCTCCATCCGTTGCAGGAGATTGTGCCTCCTACCCACTTGTCTTAGACAGCAAGCAGATGGTGGAGTGTCTTAACACCCATCAGTGCTGTATCTTGCTCCTCTCTTTAGATCTCCCTTTATAACCCAGTACAGAAAGCGCTCCCGCAGCGTGCACCAGGACCTGGCCGATCCCCCGCTGAGCTGTCCCTATGCACAGGCTGGGGAATATAGGAAACCCCCAAGACCTATCCCTTGGCACCCCTCGCTCCTGTTTGACACACATTAGGAAAGGCAGATTTCCAGCAATCCATTGTAGCTGCTGAGCTCCAACAGCCCCAGAAGAGAGGGAGGAGGTAGGTAACAGCACGGATGCAAGGTGAAGGCAGTGGGCAGTATCAGCTGTCACTGTGAGGGCAATGTGGCTGCGGGTGCCAAAAATAGCCCTTCCTGCACCCCGCCTTGTGAGGGATCTCCTGCAGATGGGATGTCCCCATACCACAGATCTGGAGCACAGCTTGTGATCAGGGAATCTGATCACAGTGGGCTGGGATAGTGGTGTCAGGTTCACTCCCCTCTCCTAGGGCTTTGGCGTAACAACCAAGGCAACTTACCTTGCTCCCATCCTGCAACTTTGGCAACTCCCCTTGGCCTCCATGCAGAATCTTCTTTCTGACCCCTTCCACATTCAGCAGGTAGGTTTCCTCCATGGCTGCTCCCCCAGGAGCAGGTCACAGGCTCAAGCACGTGGGTGTGCTCTGGCCCTTCCCAAGCTCCTCCGCGTCTTCCTCAGGGTATCTCCCTTTCTTGACTACCTGGACACACATGTCATCTCCCAGGGTTGCTGCTGGCCTTTCATTTTCCGTACTGGGGACAGAGCTTGGAAGCCTTCTCCCCTTCCCTTGCCCTTTAGGTTGCAATAGGGGCGTCCTGCTGTGGCACACCCTTGCTGAAGCCCGTGGTGTGTTCTGGAACTGCCTTTCTAATCCTCTTTCCACCCTCTCAGGTTAATCTGGGATTTGCCTGCCTAGTTTGTGAGGAATTAAAGAAACTCCCAGATCAGGAGGGCCTCGTTCCTACCAGAGAGTGACAGCTCACAGGGTCCCCTTCATTAACGGTCTCCCTTTGACCCAGCCACACAAGTATTTCAGCAGAGGAGCCCAGCAATGCTGGTGTGAGCACCAGCCACGGGCTGTGTGTGATCAAGCACAAGGTGGCAAGAGGCAGTGCCAGTCTGTGCTCTGGAGACCAGAGAACGACAGATCAGGGTTGGAAACGGTACTTTATTGAGTCTGGTTTGCAGACACAAGCATTCCTCAAACACAAGAACAAGCTCCTACCAGGCCCCAGCCCATCAAGTCCAAGACTCAGTAAGATGCAGAAAGCTGCACTGCACTGTCCCAAGGAGAACTAAACTCTGGGAGAATGGTGCTGAATATTTACAGTAAATCCAGTATTTGGGCTGCTCTCACAGGCATAGACCAAATTCTTTTAGCTTTCCCAGCCAAACCCAGCACAACGTATGTAAGAGCAGCTCTGAACACAGAGCCTCTAGCACTGCCCAGCAGCACATCTGACAGCAGAGGTGTGTGACTAGAGCAAAGACTTCATCGTGGCAGATGAACAACGCTTCCAGCTCTGCTTGCAGGTACAAAGACCCAGACCTGCTTCTCACTTCTCCATGAGAGACTCCAGCTGTTCCTGCAGGGACGTCATCTGGGAAGAGAGAGTGAGGCATTACAGTAAGGCATGGCTGGGACACATGGCAGCTCCAGCCCAAGAACTTTGTGTTTCTGCAGATCTTCCACCCAAACTAGTGGCTGCTGTGCCTGTACCTTGTGGTGAGCTGTGCCTGGGCACTTCTGGGGCAGAACTCATCCAGCGCTGCCCACATGGGGAAGCCACACAAACAGGAACCTGGAAGTGAAAACCTCCTGCCTTGGTACCTGCTTGAAACTCAGCAGAGCTGCCCAGGGAAGAAATCTGCCAAGACCCTACAGCTACTGCCTTTCTTGTACACGTCTGCTAGTGGGTTTCTGTGTCATGTGTTACCCCAGGCAGCAATCCCAGCAGCCTTGGACTGCTGACTCGACATGTTTTGGCTCACTGCTCCTCCAGAAGGCTGCGATCAACCCCATTTCCTATACTTCCTTGTGCTTTAAGATGCTCCATGCAACTGCAGATGAGGTACAACCACACCTCACCCAGAACACTGGAGTTCAAAGCAGCTGGTGTGGTACAAGACTCAGGAAATTTTGTCACAGACCAAGTCTAGAACTCTGTCGTGGCCCAGTCCTTCCCACCCCACTGTGGGATTTTCCTCACCTGCTGCTTCTCTCGCTCTTCCTGCTGCTTGAACTCATCCAGCACAGCCTGGAGACGGGTCTGCAGAGACAAACATGCCAGACCACAGTTACCAATGTGTTCTCAACCAAATGGATGCTGGCACATGTCAAACGGTGCAGCAAGCCCCAAGCTGCACTGACAACCAGCCTCCTTATCTCCTGCAGTTTCATGGATTCTTTTGCCTCCATGGGGAAATGCTGCAGTGTGTATGGTCACACCACAATTATTTTTAACCCAGCAGGCAAAGGCCCCTAGCTTTTCCAGGGCAGCAGCTGAATCAGTCTGCTGGATCGAATGGCAAGCCACTGCTAAGCAGGCTTGAGGAGACCCCAGGAGAGCTCTCACCTTGAGGGCTAGGTTCTCCACTTTCATGATGAGATCTTCCTGGCGCTTCCTCCTGTCCTGGGTCTCCTGGAGTTTACTTTTCAGGTTATCAATCTGTTTCTGGATCCCCATGACTGGAAGAGAGAGTGGGCTCAGACCCAGAGCAGCAGCAGAGCTGGGTAGTGCAGCCTGCCTGGCACCCCAGTGATGCTGCTGCACTCTGCCACCCACTCACCGATCTGGTTGGATCCCTCGTTCTCCTGTTGCTGCCCATCGGACTCATTCAGCTTGTCCTGCAGCTGCCTCTCCAAGTCCTCCTCAGTGTCCATGATGTTCAGGTCTTCGTCGTCATGATGATCCCTCTCATCTTCATCTTCGCTGCTGCTGCTGATGTCATTAAATATTTCCCGCAGTTCATCATGTTCTAGAGGGGTGCAAAAGGGAAGAAAAAAACCACAGCTGATGACCCCCCAGGAACCATGTGAGGACAGGGTGCCTGTCTCAACACCCTCTCTCCTTTGCTCTGGTTAGGGCTTACTCCAGAGAGAATGCGCCCAACTGATTACTTAGTGGCTAGAAAGAAAACAGCAGCCTTCCCCACTGCACCTGAGGAGCCATGGCCTTGCTTATGTCCTGACATCCCTGGCGAGGAGATGTCCAAGCTGGTGAGCGAACCATGGTTGTCTACTTCTTTTGTTTCATCCTCAGCAATGACTTCCCAGCCTGACAGCAGGAACAGACGAGTCAAGGGAAAAAGAGGAATATGAAAGATGCAGTACGATGAAAGAATGCTAGAAACTGCAGGAGATCACTGCCCCTCAACAAGCCTGGCCTTGCTGCTATAGATTATCCAGGACAAACCACCCCAGCCCCCTTTTGTGCTGACTTCTCTGCTCGCTCTTAAGTTCCTGCTCAGTTCAATGGTGCAGTCTGCAAGGAAGGTCTCCATGAAGAAACAATGAGCTTTGAACGAAGCAAAGATGCTCCAAAACTTCAGTGCCTCTTCTGTGCTTATCTCCCAGCCTTTCAACTTGTCTCTCCTTTCCACAACCCCCAGGTTGTGTCCTGTCCCCCACTTGAGCTTTTTTTCTCCTAAAAGGATACGGACACTGACAGCTTCAGCATCTGTGCTCAGGAGACGCTTCACTTCTTTTTCCACATCAGGAGACTCAATATACTGGGCCAGAGAGGGGAAAGAGAGCAGAGACACTGTTAAATACCTTGTGCACATTGCTGGTGCTGATCAACTCCAACCCTCCACCTCTGGACAGAGCCCTGTTTCAAGCCTCTCTTCTCTTATGCTTTCTGCTCATCCTTTGCTCATGCTCACCCTAAAACTAATTTATGCACCTCTAGAAAGCAATCCATCTTTTTTGTACAGTTCCTTGGTGGGTTGTATGCTCTCACTTTTCTACTTATACTACTTATGAAATAAGACTTCCTGTGTGTAATGAAGAAAGTCCTTGAGGTGCTACTTCCTGATGGATGGTCAATTCAACTCCTTCCCATCTCATTCAAAAGAAGGCTCAATTTTTCACTTTTAAATTAGCCAAGAATCTTAATGCAGTGACATCAAATCTCTCCTGTGGGCTATAAGAATGTCTCAAGTAATTTGTTTCCCAAATGTCATGCAATATAGCACTCCATCCTGTTCTCAGAAACTGCAAAGCAGAGAAGAACAAGTCTTCCCAGCTCCATGGTGCTGCATCTCCCCAACACCTTGCCTGGTTTGTGCATATGCACAGAAACAGTCTGAGCTCCATCTGTTGTCACTCCCCCAGCTGAAATGACAGTTATTCTATTTGTAGTGTTCCTTGTTGTGGAAGTGAACAGGCCATGCATAGAGAAAAGACTTCAGCTGGTAAAGCAGGAATGAGTGAAGCCTCATTTCCATGTGAGTCTTCCTTTCTTCTCTATGAGCAGGGAGAGATGCGCTACGGCAAAGCAGCCGCAGGAATGGAGTCCAGCAGTTTTCTGCACAGAGGATTTTGCCCTTGGGAGCATCTTGGAAAACATGGGGGAAGCACCCAAATAAGTGTTTAAATCTACTACCCTCCCTTCATCCTCATCTTGGGAAAAGAAACACATGAAGCAATGTTAAGAAATTACATGTTTTCTGGACTGATAGACAGTTACAGCTCTAATGTCTCTGCCTTCCTATCTCTTGGTTATTGCATCTGCATGTGTGAGAAGCAACTCACCTTCTTCTTAGCTGTCTTCCGGAATCGTCTCTTCCGTACATTTTTCAGGGGAAGAGTGACTGTGACAGAGGAAACAGATTGCATGTGTCAGGCAAACAGCCTAAAGGGAGAGCTGTATGTCAAAAGCGAGAAGATCCCTTCAGGAACAGAGAACACTGAAAATGGAGCAGCAGCACAGCCAGGACATGGCAGTGGTGAGCGCCCTGCACAGCTGTGGGGACACAGGGGTGGTGGGATGGAGCAGTTTGGCACAGCCTCTACTCACTGCCATGGTTCCAGATGAATTTCTTCTCTCTGTCCTTGTCCTTCTTCTTGTTTGCCTTAGGGTCAGTGCTCACAGTTTGCTCTTCCAAAGGCGGGTAGAGATCACCATCCACAGTACAAACAAGCATCTGGAATCCCCACATAAACACAAAGGGTGCTTATCGTAACGCAAGGACAAAAAGATGTGAAAGCTTTTCTGGAAAATGAACGGTGACTGTCCACTGCATGTTGTGAGCCAAAGGGATTCACAGGCATGGGGCACGAGAAACACAATGTTTCACACCCAGCTCAGTTCACATCTAAACACAGCAGCAGGTAAGCTGTTACAAGGACAACCACATTTCATGCTTCCGAAATGGGATTTCTAAATACCAAGCAGAGTGGGGAATTTTAAATTGCTAATATTGCGAGAACACAGAAATTAGCTATGGTATACTGGGAGTCTAACTGCCAAAGCGTTCAAGGGTTTTCTAGGAGAGAGGAGCAATGAATTAAGCTGTTGGGACAGACAAGAAGGACAGCCCATACCTGGCAAATGTCTGCTGTCTTATAGAAGGTTTTCTTGTCAATGGTTTTTAAGCTCTCGATGATGCAAGGCAAATCCACCAGCTTGGCCGCCAGCGGCACCCGGTCTACGCGGACAATGCCATGGCGCCCGTCCGCTGTGGAAAGCCACAGGACAGGTTAGTGCTGTCGCTAAACAGCTAAACCAAGCAACACACCCACGGGCAGCAGGGAAAACACATGCAAGTGGCACAGCTTCCCTTGGGGGCAGTCAGAGGAGTTTTAAGATGCCTTGATCCTGCTCACTCACTCACCGTGTAGCTCAATGGTGAGCCTGTCCTTCAGGTTGACGTTCCCAGACTGTACCGCTCGCCGCACAGTGGAGGCATATTCCTGGGAAGGTTGGACAGACTCATGTCAGGACTGGGTGTGCTTCCTCTGAGAATCACCAAAGGCTTCTGTCCGACCTACCCAGCTTTAAACACCCTTGCCATCCCAATGCAGAAAAACAACTGCAAGAGCCGCAAGGACAACTGCACCCTCCTCGCAATACCGCACGTTAACCCTGGGGCTCTGCTACCCGCCCTGCCCCTCACACCTCCCGACACTACAGCTCTGACAGTGGTGTGACAGCCCCAACAACCTCATAAATCAAGTTGTAGCAGCATCAGGTGTACTTACAGCCGCAGCAACTGAAAACCCAGCACTTGCTAAAGCTCTGCCCTTACAGAAATTTCCTCTGTAATCCTCTAAATTGTCTTCTGAGCCTCCTGCTCTGTGTTGCAGAAGCGCCTTTCAAGAGGAGGCCGTGGAAAAATCTGTTCGAACGAGGGGGAACGGGCTACCCGAGGCCAAAAGCACCCAGCCCGCTTCCACGTCCCTTGCCAGGTTTGCCGGTTTCCCGCTGCGCCCCCTCCCACGCCCGGCGCCGGACCGAGCTCCGTGTAGTACGGGCCGGCAGCCGCTCCGGCCGCACCGGAGCGAGCGGGCTCTTACCGGGGGCAGCCGCAGCACGAACTGGCTCTCCAGCTCATGCGGAGCATCGTCCTTGCTCTTACTCATCCTTTCCTCCTCAGCTCGGAAAACAAGGTATGATTAACCTCGTCGCCAAGCAGGGCTCCTACACGGTAACCCCAGGGCCAGGCTCTCGCAGCGGGGGCCTTCCCGGGGCTCGGGCTGACACCCCCGGCACGGCCCCGGTGTGTGCTGGCCTGCCTCGCTCCCTCCCTCCCTCCCTCCCTCCCGCTCCGTTCCGTTCCGCTCCGTTCCGTTCCGTTCCGTTCCGCTCCGTTCCGCCCGGTGCCGGGGGAAGGGTGTTGGCGGCGCACAGGAAGCGCCCGGCGGCGGCGGCGCCGCCATGGGGGGCGATGTGGGGCGCGGGGGCTTCTCCGTGGGGCTGGGGCTGGCCTTGGCCTCCAGCGCCTTTATCGGCGGCAGCTTCATCCTGAAGAAGAAGGGGCTGCTCCGGCTGTGCCGCCGCGGCCGCGCCAGGGCAGGTACCGCCGGGCTCGGGCTGGCGGGGGGCGGAGGAGCGCGAAGCGGCTAGCGCGGGCACGGTTTTAGAACCGCTCACGCGTTCTTGAAACTCCCGTTTCAAACGGGGGAGAGCCGGGGGAGAAAGTCCTCGCTTTTAAGGTAAAAGAACCAGTGTTTGCTCGTGTCTGGGTCGGGCCGGTACGTGACGAGGCGGGCAGACCAGGGGCAGCCCTGCGCTTAGAGATGAGGCTGCCCTCGCCCGCTTCTCCCAGGCGGTTCTGGCGGGATAATGAGCCCCTTGTGTAGCTTCATCTCAGGCTTCTTGTTACTCTTTCTTCCTTACTTAGGGCAAGGCGGTCACGCATACCTGCAAGAATGGCTTTGGTGGGCAGGGCTGCTGTGCAGTAAGTACCCACTCCGAAACTAGCAAGACACATTTAGTGTGTTTGTCATTGTTCCCACTTGCTTTCGTGTTTTATTATGATGGTCGTTGTTTGCTTGATTTTTATCTGTCTGAGGATATGGTTGATCTAATTACAGTTCCACAATATTCTGAAGTCTCGTGCATTACAAGGCTCTGCTGCTAAACAGGGGCTGAGGAGGTGGTCTGACTGGGTTGGGTGAAGTGCTTCTGAAATGGCCTGCCCAGATGATGTAGTTAAAACAGCACATCCAGTACTCTGGGTTTAGTGGTACAGCGATTTTAGCAGCTCTGTTTTACACTTTTCAATGCTAAAAACCAGTTGTACTTGATTTACCCTTTAAAAAGCTGTAAAAGCTGTTCCAGGAGAAGAACATGACTTACAAATATGAAACGGGTCAAAACTCCTTTCAACTTTGAGGACATTATGGAAATATTTTTCTGTGGTTACTGCTCAGCTGCACAGCCACATGTGACTAAGGATTACCATGTGTAACTGTGAGCCTTCTCTTCCCAAGAGAACGTATATTGGGCTTCTGCTTGCTCTTGCTGGTGCTGTTCTTTCCTGGTAGCACAACATACCTCAGAGAAACACAGGATGCTCATGTGGAAACTGAGGCTTTCTTCTGACTGCACTCAAACTTATTATTAGGCTGAATTGCTCCTACTTTGATGCTCACCTGACAGTTTCTCCTGCAGTGGGAGTTGGAGAAGCAGCAAATTTTGCTGCTTATGCCTTTGCCCCTGCAACGCTGGTAACTCCACTGGGTGCTCTAAGTGTCCTTGTTAGGTAAGCAGCCTCAGAAACACCCTTACCTCACCTACCACTCCTTAGTGGTGAAAGCAGTTGCTCTGCTTTCTCTATCTCTTCCCTCAGGTATTCCATCTCTTGGCCTAATTGGTTTTGGGTTTTTTTACTATCTTTCAGTGCAGTTCTGTCTTCCATTTTCCTGAATGAGCAGCTGAATGTTCATGGGAAGATTGGCTGCATCCTGAGTATCCTGGGTTCCACAGTGATGGTGATCCACGCTCCGCAGGAAGAAGAGGTTTCCAGCCTGGAGTCAATGGCAGAGAAGCTGAAAGATCCAGGTACTTAAATAAAAGGGGTCCTGTCAACTTCAGGCTTGGAAATGACAGTAGAAGTTAGGATATGACTTGGGTAGGTTGGGAAGGACTGAACTAAAGGATAGTTGAGCTGTTTCTTGTTCTGCACACCAGTGAAGGAAACATTCCCCTGTGTCCAGCATAGCTGGTGGGTTGCCTTCCGTAGTGGGAAAAGGCTGGGGTCTCCATGCTCTAAATGTGAAAGACTGGTGACAGTCAAACAGCATTTAACGCACGTGCCCAGAGGATTTATACCATGTTAACTAGCTCAAAACATAGGGGGACATGTCAGCTTCAGAATGGCTTTTTAGGACTGTCAAGTCCTCCCGACACCAGATGAAAGCAGCAGACAGGAGCCCCGCTTCCCAGAGAGGGAGACTGGGTGATGCTCCCAAGTCACTGGGTCTGTACTGAAGCAAGGATGAGAACTATGGTCATTAACAGTTAGGAAGTGTGATTTTTTTTTTTTTGTTTTTGTTTTTGTTTGTTTGTTTGGTACTGTCTATGAGGTATAGATGCAAAAAGTGAAGAGCATGGGAATTAGCTGCAGCTGTCAGAGAGGGGTTGGTCTGTGGCAGCGCTGGGATAGGAGAGGGAATTCCTGTACATAAGGATGGCAGTGGCGCGGCTGAAGGAAGACAAAGGAGGAACTTCAGGCAAAGATGAACAAGCAATTCAAGGAGTTATGCCTAAAATAAAGTGGCCCTGATATTTATATTGCAGGATAAATCAGGTTGCGAGGATATGATTTGGGCAATAGCATGAATGGCAGAATAAGCCACAGGAAATGAAGGAAGCACAGGGGGAGGAATAAAGCAGAGTAACAGGTAGATGCTGCTGCTTGTTGAAGGCTGGCAAGGCTCTGGCAAGGCCTCCTACTCCTGTGATCTGGCACTTTCCTCTGTATCCCACCACAGCCTGCAGAGTTCATCAAGGGCTTCCCAAGTCTTCTGCCACCCTCCTGGGTCTCCTGCAGAGCTGTGCCCCCTCATCCGCAAGCCCCCCACCTCCTGTGGAGCCTGGCTGTGCCCCTACCCCTTCCAGCAGGGGCAGCTCTATCCCCCGACAGGCTGACTTGTGGGGCAGTGCTGTGATCAGCACTGTAAAGAGCTGCTGTTGTCTCTGCAGCTTTGCTCAGGCTGCAGACCAGCTCTCCTTCCCAACCTCAGTCCTTACAGGTGGAAGTTAAAGAGACAGACTGCTGGGGAAGTTACCTGGCTGTCCCCCATCTCTATTTGCTGTTCAGTCACATCTGTCACTGGTGCTACTGTTCTCTGATAGAGCTCTTTAATTCTTCTTTCCCCAAGGATTCATTGTATTTGCTGTGTGTGTCCTGGTGAGCTCCCTTCTGCTTATCTTTGTGGCTGGACCCCGTTACGGACAGAGCAATGTCCTGGTTTATGTTTTGGTCTGCTCCGCCATCGGCTCGCTTTCCGTGTCCTGCGTCAAAGGCTTGGGGATTGCCCTGAAAGAACTGTTTTCTGGGAAGCCAGTCCTGAAAGAACCACTGGGCTGGGTGCTCCTGGTGTGCCTGGTGATCTGCATCAGCATCCAGATCAACTATCTGAACAAAGCCTTGGACATCTTCAACACATCTGTGGTCACACCTGTTTACTACGTGCTGTTCACCACGGCAGTCATGATGTGCTCTGCCATCCTCTTCAAGGAGTGGCAACACATGGTGCTAGACAACATCATTGGCACCATCAGCGGCTTCCTCACCATCGTGTCCGGCATCTTCCTCTTGCACACCTTCAGGGACATGCCCTTCACCCCCAACCTCCTGCCCCTCTTCCTGCAGCAAGGCAGGGCGGACCTGCACGCCTCATGGAGGAGTGCAGACAGACATCAGTCATGTCAGCATCAGCCTCTTCTGCCCTCAGAGGACAAAGGCTCTCAGAGTGCAGAGGAGGAAGAGGAGGAGGAAGAGGAGGAGGAAGGTGAAAGCGTGTGAGGAAGCCTCTAAACTGGTAGCTTTCTGCTCCCACTGCTGAGCAGTTCTGCTGCAAGGTTGAACATGCTGCCTCAGCTGCTGCTAGCTACTGCTGCACTAGCAGGAGTTGGCAGTTACCATCTACCTGCCCCAGGTGCGATGGGTGACCCGCCACTGCAAAGAGGCTGACAGGGACAGCAGCCTCCTGTGGCTACAGACAGGAGCCCTGGGAACCACCCAGTTCCTGGAATCCGGTGCCTCTTCACTGTTCTTTTACATGAAGAATTGAACTGCCCTTGTCAGGACGCAGGCTTCGGCTGCACAGAGGCCCACAGCACTAACATAGTGCTAACCCTTACTGAATGCAAAGACCACGCATTTGGGGAGGCCTCACAGCATTTTTTTTAAAATATACTTAGAAGATTAACAGTTACAAAATAATCTAACATTGTGCTAAGGTTACATGGAGAGAAGATGGATGTCTGGCTTTGAAGATGACATACCCAGAATATTAATTCAAAAATTCCTCTGTCAAGTACTTGTTTTGCTCACTCTGCTAGAATTTATTTACAGATTCACATCTAAGAACAGAATACAGCCAAAACTTGAAAACTTCAGTGGTGCTGCCACATGCTGCTGTGGCTCTTATGGAGAGAGCAATCTCTTCACGCAACGTCTGCTGTGCAGGTTGATGAAGCACCTGCTTACTGTATTCTATTAAAAACCCATTTGTTTGGTTACCGAGTGGCTAGCGATACATTTGTACTGAGGTGGGCCAGCGCTGAAAGGTGTGAAGGATTATGGGGTAGGAGGAACTGTGTGGATGTTCGAGAGAAATACGACAGGGACAGTAGAGGGAATTGCTTACTCTGGGAACAGGAGTGACCTAAGAGTCCTTAGCTACTGAGGTAAGTTTCTGAAAGATAACTAGACAGCTGTGTCCTCACTTACGTGGTTTTATATCTGCATAGCTCGGTTTAACACATCCTGAATTTGTTCCCAGGAAGGCTGTTAGCTAGCTGGGAACTCGGGCGCCCTGTCCAGCTGCCCACAGCAAATGGACAAGCGCAGACCTGCTTTGCCAGGTTCTTGGGTAGAGCTCCAAGACACTGTCGATGGGTCACTCCAGGCTTTCCAGAGCCATGCTCTACATAAACACTGCTGAAATGCTGTGCTGCCTTCCCAGAGGGTGGATCAGTAGTTTGCTGTTCGTCCAGTTAGAAACAACTCTGTGTCCTGGGGGCAGAGGCCCAGAAGACAGAGCCACAGGCCTCCCTCCAGTGATCTCCGAAGTGCATGGGGTTATAAAGTAGCTGGTTACTTACTTCCTGCATTTAGTCTCTCTAAAGAAACTGCTCCTTTGCAGAACAGCAGGAGCTATTAACCCTTTGGGGAAGAGAAGGAAAGGCCACAGCCTCATACGGAAACAAGTTTGATTCATGGTACCAAATTAATTGAGCAACAAATCGGAATTCAGAGCAGACCTTCTAGCCAGAAGACAATTATGCTCTCTCCCTACTAATTTTGCAATAAACAGGATCACTGGGAAGGAGGGGGAATGACAAGGTGGCCAGATTTTCAATTCTCAGTGGCCATCTACCTGAACAAAGGAGAATATCGTGTTAAAAATTGACCCAGTTAATATTTATTACATTGACCAGGGGAAAGCAGTTAATGGAGCAAGTCAGTATTGACAGAGTTGTGCCGCAATTTGAAAATTTGTCACTTGGCCACATGAATGATTTATCTAGGGAGGCCTCAAAGTATTTTTCAGTAGTGACACTGCCTGGGATGATCACTGTGCTCAGAACCTCTTCTCGCTAAGGGTACCTGCACCGGACTGCATCGTGATGGTGCCTGCAGGGCTTGCTAGCATCTACCCAGGAGGGTTCGTTTTGTGCAGCAGCATTTCAGGCAGCGGTCGCAGGCTGGCCTTGCCCAGAGCCGAGATTCACATCAGCGCCGGGAGCACCCCCTGATGCGAGCACCACCACCACCCCTCCGTTCAGCTGAGCGTGTGCGTTCCAAACGCTCCCTGCGTAGCATCGGTAGCCCTGGAGTCCCAGGACACAGATGGCAACTGGCCCGCAGGGCCAGGAGCAGCACATCACCCCAAGGCAGAGCGACTGTGCCTCTGTCGTGGGCTCTCATCTGGCTGCAACTTCCCCAAGACTGGCATTTAATTAAATCCTAAACCCCAGAGCTGACCGTGGCTCATTCGGGCAGCAGAGTGATGAGGAGCCGGCGCGGTGTTGGGCCTGGCCTGGTGGGGGCTGGCTGGCGTCCCCCGGGGCACGGGTCCCGCTCAGTCAGACAGGCTCTCTGAGAAAGCCGACTTGGACTTCTGCGTCTGCTCCAGCCGGTTCAGGATAAACTGGCTGGTGTCGATGAAGCGTTCCACGCAGTTCACGAAGCACGTCTCGGCCCGGCTGTCCAGCTTCGGACCCGGCTTGTCCATGCACTTCTCCTGCGCACAGCGGGGGGACCCGTTGGTCCCGGGGACACCATGACCCGACCCCCCCACCCACACCCCCCCACCCACACCGGGGCCGTGGGTCCTGGGCTTCTCCATCCCCCCCTCGGGACCGTCATCCTCTCGGCCGCATCTCGCCCACCCCCACGCAGGGCTCTTCTCGTCGCCCTCCCGTTCCCCGAGAGCCCCACTCGTGCTCACCGGAGCTGGGAGTGCTCCCACGACGGCTCCGTTTTGTCCCCATCTCCCGCCTCCCCCCCGGGGGGTGGGGGAGCAATGGTCAGCGCGGCGCCCCAACCCGCCTCCCCAGTGACCGGAGCCGGCGGCCCCTCCCGCCGCTCGCGGGCCGCCCGTACCCAGCAGAGCTCGGTCATCTGGTGCACCAGCTGCTGGAAGCGCTGCTTCTGCGTCTCCACCTCGATGAAGCGCTGGAGCTGCGGGTCGGCTCCGCCCAGCCCGGCGGCGGTCGGCGCGTCCATCCCGGTACCGGCAGCGCCGCTCCCGCCGCGCCGCGACCTTCACGTGCCGCCGCCGCCGCCGCCGCCGCCGCGCCCGCCCCTTCCGCCCGCACAGCGCATGCTCCGCCCGCCCCCGCCGCGCGCCCCCTGCCGGCGGGGCGGACCTGCCGCGCCGCGGTGCCGGTGAGCGGCGGCAGCCGGGGGGAACCGTCGGCGTTCGGAACCGTTTATTGCGCGAAGGACCGGCCAGCCGCCGCCCGCGCGGCCTGAGCGGGGCTGGTTGGCACCGGGGCTGGTTGGCACCGGGGCTGGCCGCCAAGGGCCTCGCCTCAGTCCTCGGCTGGAAGGGGTCCTGCCGGTGGCGGCCCCTCAGGCCCCTGCTCGCCCAAGGGGCGGCCAGTGGCGAGTCCGTGACAGCGGAGCAGAGGTACCGTCTGGCGTGTCTGGTCCCAGCGGGCGGGGAGGCAGCACCAGCCCCCCAGTACCAGCACCGGGCAGGGGGCAGCTGGTCAGGGCTCCTCGTCCGTGATGTCCAGGATGCTGCCCAGCAGCGTGGTGAAGGTGGGGCGCTCCTCGGCCTTCTGCCGTGCGAGAGGAGGGACCGGGCTGGAGCCTGACAGCCCCCTGCTGCTCCTGGCACCCCCCCAGAGCTGTGTCAGCCCCCCCCGGGCAGCTGGGGGTGGTCACTGACGGTGAGAGCAACTTACCTCATGCCAGCAGCTGTACATGATGGCGTAGACCCGCTCTGAGGCCTGCTGCGGCCGGTACAGGCGCAGGCCTTGGATGATGTGCTCTGTTGTCTCGCTGTTATTAAACCTCTCGTAAGGCATCTTTCCCAGAGAGTAAACTTCCCACATCAGAACGCCTGTTACAGGAAACGGCAGGGACCGTTCATGGCACAGGAGCACCCGTGCCGGAAGGTGGTTTGCAGAAGAGATCGCTGTGGTTGTGGAACCCTCTCTTCCCAACCTCAAGGCCATTAATGCCATGCTCTTACCAAAAGCCCAGACGTCAGACTTGCTGCTGAACTTGCTGTACAGAAGCACTTCAGGCGGGGACCACCGCACTGGAAACTTTGACCCCATAGAGCTTGTATACTCATCATCTAGAACGTACCTGCAGCAGATAAACAGATCATGGTGCCTGTCTTAGATTTCACATTTCACTCCCCCATGCAACTGATCAAACCCAAAAGGAATCAACAGCTCTCAGGCTGACCAGAGGTTGCACTCCGCATGGCAGAATTTTCTGCCTTCCAACAGGCAGAAATGTCCCTTTGCAAACAAGTATATGTTAGTCAAGATTGGGGAAGGGATAGGGTGACATAGAAGCATAGCAAAAATGGGATGTGGAGAGAGAGCTGCAGCCAGGATACTAGAGGTGGGGGAAGGAAGCAGCAAAGAGAGGGGGAAAAGGGATGGGGGAAGTAAGAAAGGGATGGTGGAAAGTGGAGAGGCAGAAGGTTGAGCCAGATAGATAAAGCAGAAAGACAGGTGAAGATGGAGGAAAAACAGAGCTGGAGGAAGGTAGGGAGGAAGACTAAAGTGTGGAAGAGACTGAAGGAGGAAATGGGGGATTGAGACAGGAAGGTGACACAGATGAATCTACCAGACCTTGAAAGGCCAAAATCTGATACTTTCACAATTCCTTGGTCGTTCACCAAACAGTTGCGAGCGGCCTGTGGATGGAGAGATGGAGGCTGTCACTCCTACCTGCTCTTGCCTCTCCCATCCCCCTGTACCATCTGAAATTTCATCCCACCCCCCACCCACTTAACGCTTTGCCTCTTTGTCCTGCAGGTTCACCTGGATTGGGGCAAGCTACAAAGTCCTCTGCAAAGATAGCAAGAGAAGCCTCCAGGCATCCTGTTTATCTATGGAGGGGTGACTTCCCTGGTGGGATTTTGCTTGAACAGAGCAGCACCAGGAGGAGATCAGGTACGGCACCTAGCAGGACTGCAAGCTGACAGTGCCAGCCCAAGGCCTGACAAACTGCAGGCTCAGCTTCTCATGGGGGTTGGGAGGTCCCTTTTCATGCCTGAGCCAGTGATTCTGCCTGTGCTGCCTAACGCAAACCCTGCCCTAGCCACAAATGCATTTCCCATCCCCTATAAAACTAACTAGTTCTGCCCTTTCTGCAATCTCTGCTAACTGGCTGCAGAGCAGTGACTTCAGAGCATCCCACCCATGCTCAGGTGGGCAGGGAAGCTTAGAGGGATGCTCTGCAGAGAAGTCTGCAGAGCTGCCTCTCATGTTGATGAACGAGCTGGACCCTGTCTGGGACATGCTGTAACTGTCGCTGAGCTGGAAATGTGTCCTTCAGCCACAGTCCTACCAGGTCTCGGTGCAGGAACTGCTTGGATTCCAGGTACTCCATAGCTTCACAGACATCCTTGCACATCTCCAGCAGCTCGGCAGGCTGGAACCGCCGCCGAGTTTCTCTCAGGAAGTTCAGGAGACAGCCGTTGGCCATGTACTCGGTGATGATGAAGATGGGACGCTGCTTGGTGCAGACCCCGTAGAGCTGCACCAGCTTCTCATGAGACAGGTTCCTGTGTTAGGGACAAGAAGGGCAATTCTGAGCATCCAAGAGGGCCTAGCAGCAAAAGAAGCATCTGTGAATAAAGACAGTTTGGGAAGGGAAGATGCTCCTTGCCCAGCTGATGGTGGAAAAGTTCACTGGGGAATCAGCACCAGGGCAGTAGGTTCCCGGATGCATTTTGCAGAGTGTGAGGCTGCCTGAGACTGTCCCTCCACACCACCCAGGAGCGCAGCCATTCTGGCAAAGCATACCCAGCACTGACCTGCAGGCTGCTCACCACTTACATCATGACTTTGGCTTCATTGATAAACTCATCCTCTGACATGGAGCCCTCCCTGATCATCTTGATAGCAACGTTGTACTGGCCTCTCCATTTCCCGTACTTCACCACGCCAAATTGCCCTGTCCCCAGTTCCTTCAGGAAGGTCAGATCCTTTGGGTCAATCTCCCACGACCCTAGGACAGAGAGCGCAAGTGTAATGTGGGTGCAGGTGACCTTCTTGCAGGGTGCTCCTAGTCATCTCACCTAGCAAGCCCAAGAAGAGCTCATGAGCACGCGCTGCCTGAAAAAACATCCCCAAAAATCGGTGAAATCCAAGACCTGTTCCTTCAGGAGATGGGGAGCAAAGTAGCTTGTGGCATCTCTTGGTCAGTACTGTCACCAGTGAGTGCTGGGATTCCTGGGAAGGCTGTGAGCCCTGCTGCCATGGACAGCCAGGATCCCAGCCCTGGAAAGTCACTGCTGGTAGAGACAGGCCCTGCAACCAGGGAACCACGAGGTAGCCCAGGCCAGCTTACCATAACCGAGGCCAGCTGTGGAAGGAGCACTTTTCTGGTGTTGAGACACGGGGTACTTCAGTCTGGATATGAGCCCTGAAACACAACAAGGTAGACTGCCACACCACGCTTATCCGCCACGTTCCAGTGGGGAACACAAGCTTCCTGCCTTCAGTGCAGGAAAGTGAGGGTACTGTGGTATCAGTAAAAACACTGTTGGCATCACTGTGCCCCCCAAGCACTGACCGGCAGAGTTGTGCTGATGGTACGTGATGAGCTCCGGGATGGTGTTGAACAAGTGCTTTTCTGCCAGGTAATACTGATTCTGGGGGGTGCAGCATACAACGTAATGGCGGATCATGCCTTGGGGGTCTCTGTAGAGACATTATGTGGGGTCAGCAGCACGGGGAGCACAGGCAGAGGGTGAGGGGTGCCTGGAGGGGCCCTCTGAGGTAGGAACAAGCTGTTCTTTAGATCCACTTACACGGAGGACTTGGCATAGACGGAGACAGTGTATTTCCCTGTCTTGCTGGTGGAGTCTCGGACTATGAAGCCCCCTTCCTTACCCTAAAACAGACAGAGGAGGGAGGGCGGGGTGGCTGTGGGGAGGCATGACTGCAACAGGCAAGACTTAAAAGTGAGTGAAGATCCCAGCATGGCTGGAGAGGATGCAATAAGTCAGAGGAGTCCTACTTCCAGTCCCTGCCTGGGGGACCACCTCGTGAAGTGCCTCCCAGGAGGAGGTCACGCTGGGGTAGAGATGGTTCCTGGGCCAACACTTCCCTCCTAGAACAAGCTAGGGTTGGTCCCAAGCTGGACACAACGTAACAGCAGCCCACAGAGGCCTGGTGCATAGAAAGGACCCAGCCTCTGGAATCGACACTTACCTCCTGTTTCAGCAGTTGTTCCGCTTGGCTCCGAGTGATATTCTTTGAGTACCACCTGCAACAGGGACACAGCCATCAGGGAGATCACCGCAGCCACTGGTGTCCCCAGCCTGGTCTGACCCTGGCTCGGCCAGGACAGGCGGTGCAGGGAGCACGGCAGAGACGGCTGTCACGGGGCTGGAAGCTCTTGAAGCATGTGCAACAGGGAGAGCAACCCCACCAGGATGGGCTCACAGGCTGCGTAGCTTAACAGAAGTGAAGGTAAAAAGTCTCCAACCAAGTGCAACTTGCCACGTCCCTGCACCTTCTCTTACTCACTCAAAGATCTCCAGGGAATTTCTGGTTTCAGTGACATAGTTGCTGGGGATGTATCCTTCCCTCCTGCAAGAGAAAAGGGGCTGGTCACACACTGATGGGGGAGGCCAAGGGGAAAGCACATTCCTGTCCTGCAAGGCTGAGTAGAAGTGGGCTTAAAACCCCCAGAGGCAAACCCATTTGGATTCATGCTTGGGGAGGGCCGATACCACAGTCTTCCCCCCACCCTCTTCATGTGCCATCCCGCACGGGAGCCCGCAGGCAGGCGGCCCAGCCTAACCCCCACGGTGCTGAAGAATTTTGTTTGCCCACTAGTGTCTTGGCACCAGGAGAAGACACCGCTGGCAGGGGGAGTGCCACGGGCAGTGGGAGCTCTTACCCGTTCTTGTCACGGGCTTTCCACCAGGGCAGGTGGCTTTCCTCCAGGATGAAGTACTCCTCGCCCTTCTGCAGTTGCAGGTCCTGCGCGTTCATCGGCAGGTAGTTGTAGAGGGCCACCACCTTCTTCATCTCACCTGCTGCGCTGGGGGCTGGCTCAGGAGGCAGGGGCTTCATCACCATCTTCCCCAGAGTGAGGGAGAGCATGGGACACAGTGAGGCTGGCAGACACGGTTTCACAGGCAAGACCCTCCCCAGGCCTGGCAGGGTGGTGGGCTCAGGCCAGGTCAGTGCAGCGTTTGTCTCAGCTCCTACATGTATCTCCACCCAACCAATCTCCCCCCACAGTGCTTTTTATTCTAATATTTCCTCCTCAGAGACCTGTCCTCACAATATATTGTTTTCTCTCTATGTTTTGGCTTAACCCATGACTCCTCCACCCTATTATCAGGCCACCTCTATCTTCCCAGACCCCCCTGGGGAACCTCAGGGGTGAGATCATTTGACTTTTCTCCAGGCCTTTGGGCTCCAGCCACTGGTTCAAGCTCCTTCTCCTTTAGGGCACCATCTTGACATCCCTCTCCAGAGCAGAGCCCTGGCCTGTACGTCTCTGAGCAATGCCCTGTCAGTCATTGAACGTGTTGGCTTTTCCCAGGTAGACCTTTCCTTAAACACCTTGGAGCAAACCCACATGCTGATGCTGGCCCCTACCTGGTCCTCCTCAGGAGTAGGGGGAAGAGGCTTCTTCGTTTTGCGATGTGACCGCCCAACTTTTAAACCTTCAGAAGAAAAAAGGGACTAAGGTGAGAAGAGATCCCTGGCATTGTGCTGCAGGAGCCCCCAGGGGCTGGGGCAAGGGGAGGGTGCCCAGTGTCTTACTGCCATTCCTGCTCTCCAGGATCTGGCAGCCCATGGCGTTCTTGGCTGTCTGGGAGCAGCACAGGTACTGGCCGTCGATCCAGAAACAGGGGTGATACTTCTGTACCAGGTCACTGTTGTACCGGATCACTGTAGCAGAGGAGGGGAGATGTGTGTGACCCAGGGCTGTGTCCCCAGCTCGCTGTGGAATGCTTTCTGCTCCCTGAACACAGATGATCAGCCCCACTGTGCTACTGATACACAATCACATGTGGCCTTGCTGCTCCAGTTTCTTTCAGCTCATCACTTGTGTTCCGGTGCTGTGGCTATGTGCCACCAACCCCCTAGCTCGGGGAAGGCTAGGCCTTTCCTCTCAGATTTGATCAAAGCTCTTCAGAGGCTCTGCAAAGGCACACAAGCGTGCTTGGAGGGACAAGTCCTGCTGTGATCAGCCCTCCTGCCAGCCAAAATGGCCAGCACGCCCCGGGCTGCTGACGGTTCGCAGGTCTTTTGAACCCTTTTTTTCAGAAGTGTGGAAGGAGGCCAGTGCTGTGCCTGTCTTGACCACGGGGAGAGCAGGGCAGTGCCACCATCCCCTGCCTGCTCAGAGACTTCCCTTGCTGGGAGAGACTTCCCTTGCTGCCTTACTCTTGCCAGGCAGGTGCTGACCAGCTTCCTCATACTTCTCCCCAGGCTAGAGGGACAACTGGATGTGCACCACCGCAGCGCAGTGCTGGCCCACAGCAGCTCCGTAGGGTGCAGAGCCCCTTCTCTGGTGGGGCAGAATGACAGCATCTCGGCAGCAAAAGGCCAGCGTTTGCTCTCCCCTTTTCCCTGTGGATTTTACACTGGCTTCAGCCACCACAGCAATCCCCCTCCCGTAGCAAGTAAGTGGGGAGAGGGCTGGCTGCCTGCCGGCACAGAGCAGCAGGGCTCTCGTGAAATAACCGACTTCCCTGTTATCAGCCTGCTCTGCTTCCGCCTCGCTCGGGCAAACTTCCCTGTGTCAATTTAAGCAGCTAATCTCACACCACCCGCACAAAGCCACAGAAAGATAGACATGCACCAAGAGACACATATGGGCAGCTCCAGCAGATTTTGGCTGACTGCAAGCACTAGAGCCCCTCCGTGCAGTGCTGCTGCAACGCGCTCGCAGCTCGAGGAGGCAGCACCCATGCAGCTGAGTGTTAGCACAGCAGCGCAGAGTGAGGCTCAGGGTGGGTTGGGAGAGATGCCCCTGGCTTCCAGCAGGCTTTTTGTCCCCATTTCTTAAAGCACTGGGGGCCCTACCCTCGCCTTCCATGCCAGTACAGCTGTGTGGCCACATCTGCTATTTCCTCTTGTCCTCAGTAACTTCTAAGCCTGCTTGAGCTAATTTGGAGCAGGCTTGCAAGGGGACAAGAAGCCTCATCTGAGGTGGCTGTGGAGCTGCAGAAGTCAGAGTGACAGAGGTGAGCGTCCACCTTCCCCAGGCAGCAGCATCTGGTGTCAGCTCAGGGATGTCAGGTAGCGTGCAGGGCCTTACAAGTGCACTTGTCACGGGAGAAGTTTCTGATCAGCGCTCACTCTTCCATAAGCATGGGATAATGTAACCACAAAATAGCAAGCCCCCAAAAACGCGGCGCTCTGGGCTGTGCCACAGGGACAGCTAATTGTTTGTGTTTGCTTTGCGAGGGAGCCGCAGAGCCCCCCAAACTCACCACTCTTCAGCTGATGGATCCAGCGTTTGCGCAACTCCTCCGTTGGGGAGAAGACGTAGAGGGGCCCTTCGTCATATACCACCTGCAGGACCACACGCCTCAGCGCCCCAGCTGGGTGTCTCCCGGGGAGCACAGGGGCAGCCGAGGCTTGCGGCCACCCCGAGCAGCCAGCGCAGAGCACAAGCCGTGCCAGCGTGTGCTGGCCCCACGCGGTGCTCGCGGGACCATGACGGAGCGGTTATAAATAAGCCCCCTCCCCTGAGACTTTGCACTTCCTTCTCTGACTTTCAGTGTGCCTGGGGCCGCGCTGGGTGCCAGCAGGGGCAGGCAGCTGGGTTGGGGGCTGAGTGGGCAACTGGCCGCCAGTATCGCTCCAGCATCAGCCAGGGGACAAAAAGGGGCAGGACAGAGCTGAGAAGCAAGTTTTTATCTAAGCAGCCCCCTTAAATAGAGCTGCACAATTCCTTGGGGTGCTCACCTGCCTGCCCCACACAGCGCAGACAGCAGCAGGGCATCCCCAAACAGCTGAGTGACACCTGGCACTGGGGCAGCCATGCCGCGTTTGGCCCCCAGGGTCCCCCAGGCACCCCCCCCCAGCACCCTGCAGCCGGGCAGAGCAGAGAGGCAAAGGGGTTGCAGTGAGGACTCACCTGGAAGGGGTAGGGGAACCGTTCGATAATGGAAATTTGCTCCATGTTGTAATCCTCTCCTTTCCTCTGGAAGAGAGGCAGAGATGGACGCTGGTATCCTGCTGCTCAGCTGCTGGCATCTTCCCTGGGACCCACAGCCTTTGGCATCCCCCTGCTCCCCCTGCCCTGCATCATGCTGGACCCTTGGCATGGTAAGTGCTGTGGGTGCAGAGCCCCCCACGGCAAGCAGGGCTGCCCCCCATTCCCACCCCCACAGGACAGGGTAACTCTCCCTGCTTTCCCAGTGAGGGGACAGGGGGACACAAGTGGGGACCCTGGGACCTTCCTCACCGGGACCTGCCGCTCAGGGGGAGGGTTGTTTTCGGGCACCACTGTCTCCACACAGGTGATCTTCTCAATGTCCACTGAGCCCTTCTTACTGCCCCGGCGCTGCAAGAGATGGGGTTGGTTCGAACGATCACCAAGGGGGAGACCTGGGGAGACTCAAGCCAACCATCGTCCCCATCCAACCACCCCTTGGGCTGGGTGCTGGCGAGGGATAACTTGTGACCCATGGGCACTGCCATGGCACAGTCCCTGTGGCCCCAGGGCTGCCAACTCACCCCCCGCTCAAAGTCGTACTCGTAGTAGGACAGCTTGCTCTCCGTCAACAGGAACAGGCGCTTCTTGAAGTTGAGGGGAGACGTTTTCTTCTTCTGCTGCGAGCGCTTCAAGAAGATGCTCTCCAGGATGACACTGGCCATGTCGGCCCCCCCAGCCTCCTCCACGCTCTGCTCGCCGGGTTGCTGTGAGCAGGACACCACCGACACAGCGCTCGTTCAGCCGAAAACCTGCCCACCACTGGACCTTGCTCAGGAGCCCTCTCCCTGCTGCCTGAGGGGCAGCCAGCGGGTGCTGGGACCCCCACGGGGGGAATCAGCTGCAGAGATGTGCAGGCAGGTCAGTGTGGGGTATTTGCAATGTGATCTCTCCCTCTTCTGTCCTCTCTCTGACACCAGGCTGCGGACCAAGCCACCACCCAGCTGGCTTTGGCTACTGCCGGGCGTGCAGACGGACAGACAGACGCAGACGGCTGGAGAGGGAGGGAGCTGGGGAGGTTGTGAGAAGTGTAGCCCTGGGGTGGAGTGCAGAGCCTGAGCAGCGACACCCAACAGGCTCCCTCCTCCTCTCCAACATCATGTGTGTCTGTTTGTGTGGGCCATTTCCTCCTGCCGCACCGCCGATTGTGCCGGGGACGTGCTGATTTGGCAGTGTGTAAGGGACGGCCGTGTGAGGCCAGTCCATAAAAAGTCATGGGTGGGTGCTGGCCCCAAACAGCTGCAGAGCCAGGCTGCTGAGAGCATGGAGTAGCCCTAAAGTCATCCTTCCCCTCTGCAGCCATGGAGCCTCCAGGAGTGCCGGGACGATGCTCAACCCCCTTTCCCCCCGTGTGAGCAGTGCTTGCTGGAGGCCAGGCTTGAAGGGCTGACTCCAGCCAGCAACCAGAGGGGTTAGCCAAGCCTTCCTCAGCAGAGCTCTCCTCTTGAGCCTCTCCAGGGATGCTCTGGGCAGGAAAGGGCTCAGATGAGAGCCCCACATCCCATTGCTGCCCTGCCTTCAAGGGGCTGGAATTTCACCCAGGCCCATCTCTTGGAGCAGCCCATCCATCTCGCCCTCTGCCCCTCCATGCTACACCCGGGCGCTGTGACACCCAGACAGCTCCAGCACCCCACAGAGCTGTGCAGCTTGAGCCGTAGGCTTCTCCTCCTCTGAGGGCTGTAACCAACACCCGACTCCAGCCTGGACCTAACAGGGAGCTGATGAGTTATGTGGAGCCACTGCAGAACTGCGGTCCCCTGGAGCCCTCCTCCATGTCTCCTGCCCCAACCACCTACATGCCTTGCTCCCCCTTCACCTCCACCTTGTTCCCTTTTTTTCTCCTACAAACACAGCTTTGGAGACCAACCCAGGAGAAGCTGTTTCCCTCCCTTGCTGCCCACACCCCTTCTCCACCGGGAGAGGCTTAGAAGTGGGCCAGAGAAGGAGGCAGGTATTGGCTCACTTGTGACAGGGACCAGGTGGAGACCAAGGATGCGAGGAGCTGGTCCCACCCGCTGTGCCTCTCTCCAGGGCATGCCTCAGCCCAGGGGCTGGAGCAAGGGCGTCCCCCCCACCCTCTGGCAATGCCCAGACCCTCCCAGCACAGATCCTGCTGCTGCAGTCCTGACCCTGCCCCACTGCGGCAGCTATAGCCAGAGAGGCTGGACACAAGCAGGGTTCCCCGTTCCCAGGGTCCCCCCCTTCCTTCCCCTTGCGGCTTTCATGGCTCAGGTCTTTCCAGCTTGTTTGGGTGGTTTTAAAAAAAAAAAAAAAAAAAAAAAAGAAAATGAGTTGTCAGAGCCTTTTAGAAAAAACAGCAGCCCCCACTTGCTGGTGGAGGCCTGGGGAGGAGGGAACTGGGGTCCCTGCTGGGGACAGGGCAAGTGGCTGGGGTGGCTACTGATCCAAATTGCTGGTGGGGTGGTGGGCGAGCCTGGAGTGACCCCAGCATCACTCTGTAGCCCCATGCCTCAGTTTCCCCAGCTATAAAATGCGGCTGCTGGTCCTGTATCCCAAGAGCAGGAGGGCTCTCATTGTCCCCCACCCCCCAGACACAGGGGCTGAGCAGAGCAGCCCCGGGCTCCAGCCCATCCTGACAGCAGCGCCGAGTCCCCAGAAACTTTACCTTGAGTCGCAGCAGCTGGGTCACTGCCCGCAGTGTCGGGCAGATGGGACACGTCTTCACCGTGTCCCCTGGGACAGTGCCGCCAGAGAGGAAAGGATGATGAGCGTCTCAGAGGGCTGTTCTGCCCCAGCATGGCACAACCTCCCTCTCCCCAGCACTGCCACCATCCTTGCTCTGTCCCTGTCTGCCCTTTGGGGCAGTGGGTGCCCCACGGGACTCACCTCTGCAGCCAGCCATCGTTGCCATGCTGCGACAGCAGAGGTGGTAAGTGGGTGGGTGGAAGCACGTCCCGTGTGTGTCCCCTCAGCTAATGTGACTTCCTGCCACTGTCACACCTCAGCCAAGCGTGCTCTGACACCACCGCCGGGCTCGGCACACACCACTGGCCCAGTGCTACCGGATGCTGTGCCCCACCATGGTCCCAGGGCCACCTCCCTGCAGACAGGCTCCCTGGCCCCTGCCTGTGTCCTGCTAAGGAGCCGAGCCTGCCAGCCACTGCTGGCTGATTTCAGGGGGGCTAGAGGGGGACTGGCACACTCAGGGCAAGTGAGAAGAGCTACAGGGTGTCTGGGAAAGACAAACTCCACAGCCCCCGTTTCAGATGCAGCCTGGAGGGTGACAGAAATGAAGGGTGGGAGGGACAGAGAATCTCCCGCACGGGAGAGACTCGGGAACATACAGAGCTGCACCCCACCAGTACCCACTGCAAAAAGCACAAGCAAGGTGAGGTCAAAGGCACTGGCAGCACCCCGACCCCCTGCTCTGGAGCCCCGCCGGGGTCCCTGGCACTCACCCACCCCCCTGCCCTCCCGCTCCCGCGCAGCCCGGGGGTCCCTGGCACCACGCGCCGCCCCACAGCCCTGCTCTGCCGCAGCCCCTGGCACCGTGGCCCCGCGGCAGCTGTCCCAGCCCCGCTCACACACCAGCGCTGCCCGGGCTGCAGGATGAGGCTGAGCCTTCCCGGCCTGGCTCGCTCGCAGCCGGACAGCACACGGCCCCGCACCCGCGATGGCTTTCCCGCTCCCGCCGAGGCGGCGAGCAGAGGTGCGAGGCCACGAGCAGGCACTGCACGGAGCCTCCCGCTGCCACGGCTCCACCGCAGTGACGCTTACGGGTCCACGCCAGCACCCAGGGCACCGCCACCCTCGTGTTCCCAACCGCGCCTCTTCCCGCACCACACGGTGCCGGGGCTCGGCTCCCCTGGGCCCTCCGTGCCCCGCCGCACTCACCGAGCCCTCTCACCCCCGCTCCGGCCAGCCAGGATCCCCCTGCGCCCGCTGCGCCCTGCGCCGAGCGGCCCAGCCCGGGGTGGCCGATGGCAGCGGGGAGGCACGGCGGGTCGGCCACGCAGTGAGGAAGGATGGGGCCGGCCAACCCCACCCTTTCGGTTCCCCTTTTTTTTTTTTTTTTTTTTTTTTCTTTTTAGTTTCTGACTCAAAAGCAGCAGCTGTGTTTCCTCATGGAGGCAGTCGGGCCATCTCCGCGGTGCTGGCCGGGGCTCTGGCCGGGGACGGGAAGCCCGGACACGGCAGCGTAGGGCGCGGGCCCGCGACGTGGGGACCCGGGGCCGGGATGCGGGGCGGGCGGGGGTCCCGCCATGTCCCTGCTGGCTGCCTGTCCCCGCTCCCCCCCGCCCCAGACCCCCCCATCCCACAGCCCCCCCACCCTAGTCACTCCCCCGGCCGCCTACCCCCGCACCCCCACTCCCCCGCACCTCACGTCCTGCACCCGCTCCCCACGCGTCCCCCGCCCGGCTCTCCTCCCAGCCAGAGGGGGCGCTGCAGCCCCTCCTCTCTATGGTCTCGCTGCTCCGAGCTGCTTCCTCTTCCGGGACGCTCCTCCTCTTCGGGCCTCAGCCGGGAAGATGGTGGGTGCCGGCGGCCCGCGGCCCGGCTCCATCCGGCGCCATCCGCCCTGGCGGCGGCTCGCTCCGCCCGCTGCGCTGGGTGCTTGACCGGTGGCCGGGGCGAGGCCGTAGGGCCGCCCCGAGGGGAAGGGCGGGCGGGTTGCGTTCGGCGGCGCCGGGACAGGGGGAGCCCCGGAGCGCGGCGGCCTTCCAGCTTCCCCCCGCGGTTCCTGGTCGTGCTGACCTACTTCTCCGTCCTTCTCCAGGTGAACGTCCCGAAAACCCGCCGGACCTATTGCAAGAAGTGCGGCAAGCACCAGCCGCACAAAGTCACCCAGTACAAGAAGGGGAAGGACTCGCTCTACGCCCAGGGTGAGGGCGGGTGCGCTCGGGGGGGGGGTGGCCTGGGGGGAGATGCGTGGAGCCCGGGGGGTGGTTGTGGGCCGCGGGAGAAGGGGGGATTGCTGCTGACGGGTTGCACAGCTGCAGGCTGGGGTTTGGTCAGAGCGCTGGTTGTGCCTGCAGCGCGTCTGGAGTTGCTGCCTAAACAGAGCTGTTTCGTCCTGTAGGAAAAAGACGCTACGACAGGAAGCAGAGTGGCTATGGGGGCCAGACAAAGCCCATCTTCCGTAAGAAGGTGAGTGCTGCTCCTGGAAGTTGGACCTGAAACTTGGCGATCCATGTGCCCAGCTGAGGAGGGACACTCCAGCCTCACACTGGTCCTGTGCTTGAGCTGTGTTAGGCAGCTCTGTGCTGGTAGTGCTCTCCGGGGAGTGTACGTTCCCCATCCACATCTGCTCATCTTCCCTGTTGTAAGTGATCCTTTCAATGAAAGGAGTGTTTTCTTCGTTGCTTGCCAAAGGCGAAGAGTACAGCAAAGGGCAAGGGAGCCTGCTGCTTGCTTTCCTTATGTTCTTGAAGTGTCAGTAGTTTATCACTGAAACTTTTTGCTGGGTTTGTGAGGCAGTCTGCATAGTGAGGCTGTCTTGACTGCCAGGGGTATGATAGAAGCGAAATGTGCACCTCCTGGGGGTACCACAGAACACAACATTGTTTTCTTGCAGTCTGCTCTCTCCAGGGAAACCCGTATCACTGAGCCAGTAAATGAGACCTGCTGCATTAGGCCTTTCCTGAGAGTCTCAAAGCAGCAGTGGAAGGGCAGCAGTGCATTCTGCTACAGATGAGTTGCAGAAACCTGCTGCTGTCATCCTTCCTTTTCAGTGTGGGTACCTGGAACTGCAGTAGTGCAATGTGTTTTCCTTCTGTGTCTCTGTACCTCCTGCCAAAGAGTTGGGGTGGGGGGAAAAATCTGTGGTATTTGCAGCAGGGAAGCAAAATGCAATGGGCTGATTGATTATAGTTTTTGTGTGAACTGTTTAGTTACACTTACAGAGCTACTTGGTTTGTTGCTGGAAAGCCCTGGTGTTCTGCTGGAGGCATTCAGGAAGTCTTCAGCAAGAAGGAAAAAAATGAGGCAGCAGTTTTTCAAATTGACTTTCTGCCAGGAACTGGGGAGACTGCAGAAAATGTTCCTGCAAGCAGGGTACACAAAGCAACTGTGCTGCTTTTGCAGTTTCGCACTCCACCTGTACATTGCCGTCCTCGTTCCTGTTCCTTCCTAGTCAGCATTATATATGGATGATTGACTGAGGCTTAAAACGGGTGGTTACAGCTCTGTCCAGCTGCATAGCCTTGCAGCTTTGGACTCTTCTGTCTGTAGTCTTTTGGGTTTCGTTTTAACTTCTTAGTAGTTGCAGGTCTGCATTGAGCATGTTGTGTTGCTGCTCTTTCTGGGGAAAGTCTGTCAGTCGTGTTGCTTTCAGGTGTTTCTTCTGCCTGGCTTCCTGCTGAACTTCTCTTGAGCACTGTCAGTCTGTTTTCCCACACTGCAGAAGTGCCTCTTTCTGGGTGCACAGACTTTCTCCCAGCATGGCTGATCTCTGCAGGGGACCAGCCCTGACTCACTGGTGCTTTTGCCAGTGTCCTTTATTGTGAAGGCACAGATCCACTATACTCCTGTACTGGTCCTTAAGGTGCCTTCTTGGTTTTAATGGAGGGACCCTAACTGTGCTGGTAGTCTTTTTCTTTACACTTTGAGAACAAGCTGCTGAATCTTCAGGATTAAAGATAACAAGCTTTTCCTGAAAGTGGCAATTTGTCTGCTTGTGGACATCTTGTTCAGTTATATGCTCTGCTCCTCTCTTCCCAGGCTAAGACCACTAAGAAGATTGTGCTGAGGCTGGAGTGCGTGGAGCCCAACTGCAGGTCCAAGAGGATGCTGGCGATTAAGAGGTGCAAGCACTTTGAACTGGGAGGAGACAAGAAGAGAAAGGTAGGTTTCTGTACAGTGAGTAGCTGAGAAAGGGTGTCAGCATTCAATGGTGAATAAATTTGCTTTGTCTCTTCCTTCTTACAGGGCCAGGTGATCCAGTTTTAAGCTCCATCTTACTCCTTATGGACCATATTAAAGTATTTGGAAGTGATCTGTTGCTTGTTTTTAATGTATCTTCTCTTGGTGGGGTGGGACTTGCAAGTACATTGACCCAACAGGAAGGTGCTGCTTGCAAAGCTGCTTAGTAAGCGAACAGTTTGTAATCCGAAGGCTTTTGAAAAAAAACCCTGCTGATGGCTGGGATCTCCTTACTGTCTTACAAAGAGGTGCATAGAATGTATGTGGAGCCTGAGGCTCTGATGGATTTTTGCACCAGTGCCTTCTCTGCATGAACACTATGGTGCTGCTTTTCTCCAGGCTTGTTTATGAGCTGCGGTAGAAGGCTGTCCTCAAAAGGGCCTCCTCTAAACCTCTGCAGCTTCTTTCATTTAAAACTGTTCATGTCTCAGTTATAGCAGTTCCATTTCAGGAACGCTGTGGTGAATTTGAACTGTTGGTAGATGAAGTAGTGATTGGAAAAAAAAAAGCAGCAGAGCTGCCCCAGTAGGCCTTTTTCCCTCTCTGAGCCCTTGCCCAAGAGGAGAGGCAGGTAAGATCCCTTGTACCCAGCAACAGTGTCAACACAGTAGGGACCAGAATAATCCAGAGAGCCCCCACACTTGGCTGTAGGCCCCTCTTTACAAACAGGGAACAGTTGTACTGCCCTGAGGGTACCGTGTGAGCAAAGGCCCTGGAGCAGCTAGTGGGTGGGTTTCGTGCCAGGGGCTTCCATCTGATAAAGCGTCTCCTGCCCCATTAAGCAGCAGCTCTGTGCTGCAGCTGGGCTGTGGTCCGTGTGCGGTCGCTGTGGGTGTTAACAGTTGCCGAGATGGGGCAGGGACAGCTTCGCACCCGTGGTTCCTCCAGCTGCGTGCTGCCACACCGAAAGCGATGGCGTGCCAGGACTTGGCTGCCTGCCTCCTGTGTCTGGCTGCTGTTGGCACCTCAGAATTCTCCTTAAAAGCCCAAGCATGGCACTGAAGTTTCAGATGTGACTGATGGGCAACTACTGAGAGCGTGGTACATTACAGGATGGCCTACCCTGGGCTTTGTCAGGATCCTGCCTGTGAGTAGGAAAACCACTGCCAGCGGCTGCTGGGAACACACTGTGGAGCTCTTCAAGAGTAACTTTCCTGTAGTGGAAATAAGAGCCGTAAGATGAAGAAATGCCTTTTTGCACCTTTGCAGGGACCAAGAGTGCTCACTGAACTGTAACAGAATTTTGTTTATTCTGTACTGGTAGATGTGATGAGCATTTTCAAACTCCTGCTTAAGCTGCTAGCAGCAGTGACTTCGGCCTCTGCTTGTGAGATGCGTTGTATGGCTGCATTGTGTCAGCTTTACTGAGCACTGTTTGTAGTAACTGTGACAAATTTCACAAGAACTTAGTGGCTGGAACAGACTGGCCTGTTTTCTAAAATCTGATTTAATTTCAGATACTGTGCTGTACTCTTGTACAGTGAAACTAAGAAAAAGCCTTTTTAAGGGACATTTTAATCAAAGTGCTTAATCACAGAAATAAGAACAAATCAAGATATCTTGATTGCATAGTAGTCAGAAGAGAACATACTTGTACAAGATGGTTGCATAAGCAATTAAGTATCCATCTCCTGCCTCGGAAGGACCCGTGTTACCCAGCTTAAAGGCTACTGCCAGCAGTGAAAAGCAAGCACAGAGGTATTTTGGAAGGCAGCTCATTGAGCAGGGGCCCCAGCGGTCCCACGAAGGGCAGAGAGGGAACTGGTCATCTGAAGGGAAGTGACAGCCACTGGTGAGAGGAACACTCCTGGGGTAAGGAGGAGCCCTCAAAAGCTGAGTCCTAAGGCATGATACTTCATCACACTAAACAGGCAGCTGTCAAGAAAGCAGTTGCTAAGAAGTGCAGTCCCTGAGTTGTCAGAAGGTGGAAGAAGATGTCCATGCTCTGAAGAGAGTGCTGGGTTTCTTCTGTGGGGGTGGGAGCAGCTTTTCTTGTTCTTGGACTGTATGACCCAGCCTGGAAGAGCAAAAGCGAGGCAGCCACTGTTTCCCTCTTGTCCTCAAAATGCTCAAGGAGAGCTGTAAGATGCTGTGTGTATCCTCTGCATTTCTTTGGTTGGTAGTGGCAGTGGGCATTAACAGGAGTTGCTGCCCTGGAGGGGCTTTACAGCCCCATGGATAAGGAGTTCAGTAAGATGCCAGAGATAAGGGTAAACAGAAGAGCAGCACCCCTTTCTCTGTTATCTCTTGGTGTTGGAGTGATGGGTATTTCTTACTGAAGGCTGAAAGTTCAAAGTCCATGTAGAAGCACTTGAGTAGTGAATGCCTGAGGAGTAAATGAAGGCACCCCACTTGGAGGAAGGAGACAGGCTTCTTGTGACAAGAAGTTTAGACAGTTACAAAAAAGTTGTCTTTGTGCCTCCTATAGTGCCACTACTTTCAGCAGCACGGTGCCTGTTGGGTTCACCTCCACGCTCAGGGAAGAGACCCAGCTGTAAACCCCCCAGTCCCTGCTGGCTGGCAGGACCTGCTGGACAGAGCACGCTGGGTTGCAGGCTAGCCCGTTGCCAAGGAAGGTGAGGGAGAAGGTGAAGTTCTGGGGTCCCCCAATCTCCTGTTGGTTCAGCACTGCCACGGCGTAGGCTCGGCCAGACAGGGGCCGCTCCCACAGCTCAAAGTTCTTGTCCTGCCAAAGAGATAAATCAACCCAGGGCTTATGTTAGGGGAGGCAGGACTGATGTTCTTCATGCCTGTCTGAGCAGGCTTCAGGAGCACGTGGGCTCACTGGGTTCCCGTTCCCAAACCCCGAGCACTCCTCTATACCCCACGTGTTCCCAGTGTCCCCTGTTGAGGAGACTGGCTGCCTGTGCCCCGCGCACCCCCAGCCCGGTCCTGCTGTACCTTGGTGATTTGGTATCCCTGCTTGCCCAGCGGATCCTGGTTGATGGCGATCACCTCTTTGTTCTGGAGCAGCCACTTGGCCTCAGGACTAATGTGCCGCAGGTCGTTGGACATGAAGAGGGGAGCTGCCATAATAGCCCACATTGCCATCTGAGTCACCGCCTGGTCCCAGCTCAGCCCAAAGTTTCCAATCACCAGCTGTGACAAGAAAACAGTAATGCTGCCTGCTGAGGAGAAACTGGGCCACCAACCTGAGCATGGGTAAATGACAGGATGCTGAGGGTGGGACCCCTATTTGGGGACTGGTTAGATAGGCTGAGCACCAGCAGCAGGACCAGCTGGTTGGGAAAGGCAAGGCATGACTAGTGTGGCAATTTAGGATGAACAATTGGTGGAGGTAAAGAAGGATCCTTAACTGGCTAGGCAGCGTTTAAGAATCTGCTTGCAGATGCAGCTATTCCTTCCTTGCAATGCTGGCACCATTGCAAGGAAAAAAAGGGATTTTCCTTGGGTGGGAGATCAGCACTTTGGAGGCTGACTCCCACTGCCACACCTGTGTTCGGAACTGGCACTGCTTGTATGCTGCATTATACAGATTTCCTCGGCAGTGTCTGTAGCTGTAGTTCTCTTTCCCTTTCCAGCCAGGGATCCTCTCAGCAAGTTCCTGATCCTAAGACCCCATCAGAGCCCTTCCCCTCAATGTTTCTCCCCTGATTCTCTCCTTTCCCATCCTTCTGAGCCTACAGCAGAGGAAAGGATTTTTTTGCTGGTGCTGCAGGGAGGGTGGTCATTGCTCTACTTGCCATGTCAGGATCATTCCAGCCCCCCGGGCCAGCTATCTTGACAATGCTGTCCTGGTGAAGTGCTGTCCAGTCCAAGATACTCTTGACACTGCTCCAGGAATCATAGACATCAAAAAAGTTCCTCCAGTGATTGCAGTATTGTTTGATCTCCGTGTAATTGGGCTGCCAAAACAATGAGTGTCATTAGCCAGAGAGCTTGGCTGTACAAGACAACCGTACACATGGCTAGACTGGATCAGTGATAATCTGGGGGAGAACTATGGTAACACCTTCCACCACCAGCTATCTGGATGATCTAGTGCATGTTAGCTCCCTAGGATGTCTTGTGCCCAATAACTCGTTTACCACGTTCCAGACACTATTGCTTCCCTTAGGAGAACAGTTGTGGCCACCTAGCTGTGTTAGAAAATTCCTCTGAGTGCTATTTTATTGAAGGTGTGACAGGGCCAGTGGGATTAAACTGTGACATCCCAGTAATTACTGGTATTTCTTGGGTTTACACCCTTTGGTGACTAATGTATTTAACTCCTAGTGTGAAGGAATGGCACCATCCTGGTGGCACAGGGGAAGCCAGCTATGGGTGGAAAGCAACACGTTGTTCATGAACCCTGGCTGGCAGAAATTTGTCAGTAAACAATATGGAGAATTCCTATTAAACAGGCTGTCTTCTAAATTCTCTCTCCTGGTCCCTAGAGGTGACTGTAAGGCTGAGTCTGCAGCACTCTGTGTCCAGGAGGAATAACACCGAGCTATCCGCTAGCTGTGTATGCACATTGCCAATGTTTTGTTGCTTGGCTCCTTGGAAACAGCAGACAGATGCTGCTGTGTTCTCTGCCATGCTCCAGCTGGGCTGTGTCTTCATGCTGCAGCATCCTACTGAATTCTTTTCAGCAGAGTAATGACTCACCTCAGGTATACCTCAGGGCTCTAGAGGAAAAAAGTAGTTTTCCTTCACCTTACAGTCTCGTTCTCTGTCAGACCAGACAGCAGAAAGTTTTTTGGGTGGCTATTCTGTAGCCTTAATGCTTTTCTGTTCTTCCCACTTTCAGCCCCATAAGCCTTAAGAAACACTCCTTACCTGCTGCATGGGCCTCAAGTAGAAAGGCCACTCACAAGAGTACACAATGCTCCTTCCAGTCTTGTTCAGGGCCAGAGACATGCGCCTGTAACCTAAAGGAAGAGGACAGACAGAGGTTACACAATCTCCTTGGTTAAACAGAGGAACTAGTCCAATGTCACAGGTTCAGGTTTCAGTTCAGCTCTTGCAAAATCAAGGCTGAACACATTATTGTGGCTGAAACAGCACAGGGAGGACAGGGGAGCTTATAGTCTGCAGCCAGTCTCCTGCCTCCCGAGGACAGGTGAGCTTCTCCACAGCTTTGCTACAGGTCACAGGCAGGCTTATTGCTCCAAGACTGCTAATCCCTTTGTACATACAACCATGGAAAGAGGATGCCATTTTCCAGTATGGCATTTTTTCCTCTAGATACTTGAGAAATACAAGGTGGCAGCTATCAAGCTGGGTAATGTTGCAGGAATGTATTCTGATGAGGCATTTGTACCATATGGACTGGGCAGGAATGCAAAAGCAGTTTTTTCCTGTTCTCATCCCCAGACAGGCCTGTTAAATCCCTTTTCATCAGCAGAGAGGGAACTAAAAGTTTGCTCTCCCCTGGAACTGGTTCAATACAAGTGGATTGTATCTGGGTTACACATATAATCCAACAAGAACCTTCAGCTCAGCTGTCACTTACAGTGCTGAACTGTACTCCTGGCTGTGGCAGCTGTCATATGCCCCACCAACAGGCTTCAACAGGATTCTCCCTTGGGCAGGTTCTCCCTGCCAGGCAGAGCCAGGAGTGAGTGCAGGATTCCTGCTGCCAAACACCATGGTGCTGACTGGGCCAGCAAGCAAGAGCCCAGTCAAGAGAAAACCACCTTCTTCCCACAGATCTGCTCCTGTGGCAGTGGGATTCGCTTGTACTTGCGGAGGGTCTGTAGCCAAGCCCCCTCGGCATGGTGAGCTACAGAGCTTTCAGCCACTGAATTACCAGCCTGTGTGCAAATAAGTTCTGAACTGGGATTTACACTGGCATGCTTTAAAATTAAAACCCCAGTAGGATTTTCATGCCAGAATTCCCTTCATTTTTTTTTGTTAAAAGCCTTGATAACTGCCCCTTTTATAGCTGACACAAGCTGCTCTAGCTTCAAGCTGATCCATGTTGACATAGCCTCACCAAAGGGATTACAGGTTAAGTGTGAGAAATGCTTTGAGTTCTACAGTAAAGGCACTGCAGAAGGGCAAAGACTGTGCTGTGCTAAGAGCTGAGACAGCAGTCTGCACAGAGGGCCCCCAAAGTACACAGTCGATGTTTCTGTGCTCAGCGTGATACGGTCTCTGGCATGAAAAAGCTGCTTTTTCAAGCTGTGCACACCAGTGAAAGCTCCAGGAGGCTGAACAGGTAAAAAACACTTGGGCCAACAACACTCACTGCCTTGGGCTTGGGAACAGAGTCTCATACCTGCTTTTGTAAGCAAATCCCTTAAATGAGTATGCTTAGGGAAAAGCAACTCCCTGGAGCCCACCCTGGGCCTAAAATTGCTGCTGCCTGCAGAGTATTACTGCCCCATGGCGCAGTCCTGCCTCAAGCCCACGCTTACCTTCCGCCAGCAGCTCCAGCGTGCCAGAGTTGCAACCATCAAACTTCAGCAGGTCCACACCCCACGAGGCAAACGTTTGGGCATCCAGGTCGTAGTGGTTGTAACTGCCAGGGAAGCCAGCACACGTCTTGTTCCCAACATCGCTGTAGATTCCCAGCTTCAGCCCCTTGGAGTGGACCTGCGCTTGCAGACAGAACGAGAACAGGGGATGGGGCAGCTGTGAAATAGCAGAGCTGGGCTATAAAGGGAAGCAAAGCCCCACTCTGGCAGGCAGGGCCTTAGCTCAGCAGCTACACGGCCGTTCCCCGGCCAGCATTCCCCCTCGTCCCCCGCTCCCAGCGCAGCGGCTGGTCGGGTCACCGGCTGCTGTCGCAGCCGTGGCCGGCGGCACTCACGTAGTCAGCCAGCTTGCGGATCCCGCCGGGGAAGCGTTTTGGGTCCGCCTGGAGCCTGCCGTCTTCATCTCGCGTCGGGGCCATCCAGCAGTCGTCGATGCAGACGAACTCGTAGCCCACGTCCCGCCAGCCCTCGGCGGCCATCACGTCAGCCATCTCCACAAAGAGCCACTCGCTGGACGCGGGCGAGGCGGCACGACCAGGGAGGAAAGAGGAGAATTTCTGTTTTCTATTCAATTTCTAGCAACAGCGCGGCCGGCCTGCGGCTCCTCCGCCGAGGGGCTGGCCTGGCCGTGAGCCGAGGAGTGCGGGGAAGGCCCCGGCCCCGCTCTCGGCCCCGCCGCGGGGAAGACACGCCAGTTGCCAGTTGCCAAGGTCGCAAAGCACCGCAGCGGGCCAGCCGCCCCCGGCCCCGACACCCCCGGAACCGGTGCGCTGGGCCGCCCCGGGGCCGGCACCCCCCGCCCCGCTCCGCTCCGCTCCCGGGGCACGGCCGCCCGCCCGCGGTACCTGACACAGCGACGCGGGTCGGTGGCGCAGTCGGTGGCGCAGAGGAAGCGCTCCCAGTGCAGCCAGCCCATCGGCGGCGTCCGCGCCAGCCCGTTGTCCAGTGCCAGCGCCGCCGCCGCCACGGCCACGGCCCAGCGGAGCAACCACCGCCCCGCCGCCGCCGCCGCCGCCGCCATGCTTGCCGCCGAGCCGACGGGCTGCCCGACCCACCAATCGCCTCGCGGCGCCCGCCACGCCTCCGCCAATCCCAGGTAGCGGGGCTCAGCGCGGCCCGCCCTCTCTCCGGGCGGTCGCGAGAGCGAGGCGAGCGGGCGGATGGCGGCGGGGCCGGGGCTCGGAGCGGGGCGGTCGGTGCCCGCTGGCCTTCCCCGGCCGCCGCACCGAGCCCGCCCTGAGCCTGTGCCGGAGCCTCCTCCTCGCTGCTGGGCCCGGTCCTGCGGCGGCTCAGGGGTACCTGAACGGCCCCGGGGGGTTGGGGCTGCCTGAGCACAGGGGTGGTGGGTTTGTGCTCGGTGGTGTCAGTGCTGGCCGTGCGAGTACAGGGTCCTGGGGAAGGGGGGTTTGTGCCCCAGGGGCCTGGGGCTTCGTTTTAGCTCTGGTCTTCAGCCCTGCCTCAAAACCTGGGAGCATGTTCCCAAGGAACCTTCTGATGGCACCTTCCTCTTCAGAGTACCTTCTCTCTGTTCTCTTTCATCCTCTGGCACCACTACACTCTTAACTCACTTGGCTTCCTTCACTCCTCGGAGACACCCGCCAGGTTCATCTTCTTTGCTTTGCCTTTTACCTTTAGCACTACTGCTCCTTGACCTTGACAGCTTGTCCAGCATCAATGGAGAAAGGAGGGGTTTGGTTTCTTAAGAGAGCGTCTTGTGGCCTGCCTGTTCTGGCTGCATGGGGTGTTTGGAGCCCAGGGCTCTCAAGTGCCTCAGCTGTGCTGAGGAGCTGGCAGGGGCTCTGCCACGAGCTCGGGGTGTTTTATGGTACTGTAGGTTGGGAGGTAAGGAAGGGGAATGGGATCTCTGCAGAGCCTGGCTCTCCTCTTGCAAGGATCCAAGGATCAGAGTGAAACCCAGAGCTGGATCCAGCACTGGCAAGAGGCTGATGCAGAGCGTGAGGTGTGGCCAGGCTGTTTGCTGCAGCTCTGCCTGCTTGCAGGGATCCCTGAGGGGCTGGATCCAGTGCATCTCTGCCTGGGGTGCCTGTGCCCATCCAGATCTTTGCACTCAAAGCTTGTGGTCTCTCTTCAAACAAGTTCAGCCACAGGAATAAGTCATAGTTACCGGGCATTGCCCTGTTTGCACCGGTAAAATCAGCTTGTCTGGAGGTTGAGACAAGAACCTCTGGGAATGGGAAGTGCTGGTGTCAGCAGGACCCAGAGAGCTGTAAGGGACACCTGCATCCCAGTCGGTGTTTCTGAGATAAGCCTCAGATTTAATCCCTGTTTTTGCCGTAGTTACACAGCTGTGAGCACTGCTGGGTCTCACCCTGCTTGGAGATACCAGCACGGGCAGTGTGTGTGGCCTGTCAGGGCAGTGTGGAGGCTTTCGCTGCCAAGGCAGCAGTGAGAGCATTGGGAAATGGGAAATGAGGAGCCTATTCTTCCCCACTGTGCATCTCCCCCAGGGCTGGACCAACCCCTGCAGCCCCGCTGGAGCTGTCAGCATGGGCCCCTCCACAGCAGGAGGAGGGGAGCAGGATGGAATTGCTGCGGGGCTGGGGCTGCCACAGCACTGGGCTCTGGGTGCTGCTGGTGTGCGGGGCCACCGAGGCATCTCGCTAGGTGTCCTCCGATCCCTGCTCTGATGCATCCAGGGAACAAAAGCTCTTCAGAGTCTGTGGTTTGATAATTGCGCCTTGTTTCAGTGCTGGGGTCCTCCCCCTGCCCCTTGAGGGGTTGAAGCGCAGAGGCTTCTCAAAATCGGACAAAACAAGCCACTTTGGGGGCTGGAAAACCTCATCTCTCTGTTTTTTCTTGTGCAAAACCACAGCCCAGAGGCAGGCAGTTATCCCATATTCCCAGGGTTTGGGAGCGCTGCAGGGCTGATCCCTGCTTGTGTCTGGGCTCCAGCCTCCCTTTCCTGCCCCTTCCCAGGTGCCCTGCCTGCCCCTGGGAGTACCTGGCACACCCACGCCCCTTGGGCTGGGGAGCATGTGGGGTTCCTCGTGGGGCTCCCTGTGGCCTGCATGTGCTGGCTGGCTTCCCCCGAGCGGTGCAGGCTGGTCCCTGAGCGGTGCCAGGGGGGTGGATGGGGGTGTGGGGTTTGGCTGTGCACTGGTGAAATGCCTCTGAGCAGGCAGAGGTGACGGGCTGTGGTGTGATGTTGCAGCTTAGATGGCCTGGGTGTGCTGGAGTCTAAAGTCCCCCTTGGCTCCTGGGGCTCCTCTGCCTGTGGGGCAGCGCTGGCAGAGCCGTGTTGAGGGCTGGGGTGCTGGCACAGCCACGCTGCCTGAGCACCCCGCACCTGGACCTTCCCTGTGGTGGAAGGATCCTGCCTCCACGGGGGCAGCTGCAGCGGGTCTGCCGTCCTGCATGGGCCCTGTGCACCGTGACATGGCTGGATCCCAGCAGGGCACACTGCCAGTCCAGCTCCTGGCACTTCCCTCATGCCTCAGTTTCCCCCATCTGTAAGGAGCAGCCCTGGCCTGCTGAGGACTGGCTGACTGACTTTGGAGCTTGATATTTTCTTTAAAAAAAAAAAAACAACCCAAATCCATGCCCAGGCAGCATGCAAATAGCTGTTGCAGCTGGCAGAGCTGTTGCTGTTCTTGCTGCATTGAACTCCCCTGGCTCCAAACCTGGTGTCCCCAACATGCTGTCCTGTGGGCATTGGTCCATCCAGACAGGGTGCTTTGCTAAATCTCTGTCAGGCAGTGCTGCGGGCGTGGGCAGGAGGCCATGGTGCGGGAGGAAGGGAAGGTTTGGTGCCCCAATGCCGCCGTGCACAGTGGCAGAGCTCGGCTTCAACAGGATCAGACGCTCTGTGGTTGGTGGAGCGGGGGCCTGGCTGGCATGCCATCGCAGTGCCTGGCCAAGGGCACGTTTCCTTGGCCCCATGCAGGCACCCCAGGGAGCCCTTAGGGCTGGCGAGGAGCCGTGCTGCTGCAAATCTGTGTGTGCCCGTGGCCTCCTGGCCCTGGGTATGCTGTTGGCAGGCTGTTGGGAAGCTGGCAATGCTGATGATGCTCATTTTACTGTCCGGGAGTCTTGTTAGTCCAGTATAACTCCATTAACTTCCATTTAAACCAGCAATTAACCTGGCCATGGCTATTGGTCTTGTGCCCACAGCTGCTTCCCATGGTGGCTGGGATGCGTCCCCTACTGCACAGCCTTGGGTGGGAAATGGAAAACTGACTTAATCCAAAAGCTGTGGGCTTTGCTGGGGGATGGAGCCACCTGGGCTGGTCCCTGGCCATGCTGTGACCTGCAGGAGGGCACAGAGCTCAGCACCCCCATCTTGGGTGCTGCTGCTGTCCCCAAGATATGAGGCATCCACTGGAGCTGTGTTCTGGAGGGCAGTGACAGCCCAGCAGCTGCGTGGGTGTCCCAGTGGTTCCCAGTCCAAACCGGGCTGCTGAGAGGACCAGGGGCAGGGGCTGAGTGCTGCTCCTGACCCTAAAACTGCTCCTGGGTTCACCCAAATCACAGGGGTCTGCAGGGACATGGGGCAGTGCTCTCCTCATGCCTCTGCTAGTACAGTGCCAGCAGCGAGGCCCCCCCCACACACACCTTGCCACAACCAGTGCATGGGACCCAGGGGCTTTAGCTTAGGAAGGATATGTTGGGGTTTTACCATTTTCTTTTTGCAGGGATGCACCAGTTCCTGGAGCTGGGTGGCTTAGGGCTGACTCCAGTGTTGATCTCTGAACAGACGCTGGGTGCCCAGGCCTGACGTTTGGCAAGGGAGAGAAAGGAGAGCAGGGAGTGAAGAAACTGGGCACACCACACTGGTGTAAAATGGCTGCTGCCTCTCCCCTTGCCCGCATCCTCTCTTGGTTTGGGGTGGGGGCAGGAGCAAGACCTCAGGGGGTGTTTGGTTTGTCCCATCTAAAGAACAACCCCAGCACCGAAACAGCATGGGTGCCCCTCATTTTCTCTCCTTCCCACCGCAGAAGACCCCGATGGGGCGGGCGGGTGATGGGGCTGCGAGGTACCAACAGAGCCGGTCTGTGAAACTTGGCTGGGAGGACAGAGGGAGATTGATGTTTGCTTGGGTGCTCGGCCCTCAGCTGCGGGCTCTGCCTGCCCCTGTGCCAGCTGGGGACAAAAGCGCCGGTCCCGGATGGCACTGCAGGGCTGGCGTAAGCCCCCCCAGGACAGCTGGCAGCTCTGTAAGGCTGGCACCCGCCCAGCAAACCCGCACGAAGGGGCCGCGCAGGGAGGCTCGCCTGTCGGAATGCTCACTCGTGTTGGGGTCTCTGAGCTCCACCGCTAAGCCGGAGCCCTCCCCAGCCCCACGTGTGCCCCATTTTGGGTCCTGTCCCCTGGCCGAGCCTGGATGGGGTGGAAAGGAGCTGAGGTGACCACAGGGAGCACCCCACAGAGCTCCCAGGGAGAGGAGAGTGATGGGGTCTGGAGCTGGGAGCTTGTGGGGGGCTCCCGCCCAGCCCTGCTGACATCTCCCACATGGAAGATAAAACCCGACAGTCATCACCAATTATGTCAGAAAAATCACCCATGGAGGTAGTGATGTCTGGGTGTAATTGCAGATCAGGGTTCCTGTCCCTACAGGGCTGTTGTGCCCTTGTCCTCATGTCCCTCCCACCCATGGGGGCCCAGCCAGGAGCTGGAGCTGGATGCAGAGTCTTTGGCAGAGATAAACCCCCAGCACACTACTGAAAATCCCATAAAGGCTTTATTTGCTTAGGAAGATTGATGCTGTTTAAAAACCCACCGCTGCTAGAGGGTGTCTTGGCTGCCCAGCGCCCGCGGGTGCTGCCTGGGTGCTGGCACCTCCCTGTTCGGCACTGCCTTGGGAGGCCACATGCCAGGCGAGATGGGGTGCACCCCTTCCTCTGCCTCCAAAGGGGGCCTCCCCAAAAACAAGTCTTGAAAGCCTAGCCTGGACACATGTCAGGGTGCCGTGGGGACCCCCACAATGGGGAAGGCATGCACAGCGGTGGGATGGAGCTGGCTTGGCTCATACTGGTGGGTTCTGGCTGTGGCCTGGGCTGGTTCTCCTCCACTTGCCCAGTCTGTGAAATGGATGCATGCAGCTGAGCGCTCTGTGGGGTTCGGGGAGCTGGACAGGGGATGGGGGGTGCAGGGCCTTGTTCCTGGTGAGTCATGTGAGGGAGAGGGTGATGCCTGCCTGAGGAACAGGGCCAGGGGCTGTGGCGGGGGTTTCTGCCCAGGGTCTGGCTTCAGCAGGCATTGCTAGCCTCCTGACCATGTCCCCCTGCCCCGCAGGGTCCCTTTTGCCGTGACAGGTGGGTCACTGGGGCCCTTGCCATGCCATGGTGGCACCACAGCCCCAAGGAAGGGGACAAATCCTGTTTCCTTCCTGTCCTGCCTGGAAGACCCTGGGCTCTCTCCTGCACCTGGGGCCAGGGGCAGACAGATCATGCTGGGCTGTGAGCCTGCCTGGGCTGGCTGTGAGCAGGGGGAAAGGAGAGCATCAACACATTTCTCTCTATAGCGCCTACGTAAACATCACCTACTGCTTTTATTTCCCACTAAGCACGGAGGATATCCAGGGCTGGAGGGATGTAAGCCTTGCTGAGCTTGTCCTGTTGAGGTTTTGGATGCTCTCCTGTCCAGTGGAGGAGCAGGAGGGGTGAGCCTGCCCAGGGGATGCCATGCCTGGGCAACAGGGTGGGGACAACGCTGGGGAACGGGACAGTTTTCACCTTCAGCTCTCTGCTGGCACCGTGAGGCCAGGGGGATGCAGCAGTCTGGGGGTGCCACCACTCTGCTCCCCCAAAGGGATCCGCCAAACCGCTCCCGCTACTTTCATCCCGAAGATGGGCTGTGGACCCTACTAGCAGGTAGTGCAGTGCCAGCTCCCCAATGCCGAGTGGCTCCCGTCTGCAGCTGCAATGGCTGTTTGTGCCCCTTTGCTCTCGGCGTTTTCCCAGCGGAAATGGAGCCTCCTGCCCAGGGGTATGGTGGGCAGCTCTGGGCTCTTGCAGGGAGGGAAGCATCCCTGACCCACTGCTTTCCTGTGTGTTGGAGCTGGCTGGGGGGCTGGAGGGGCCCTGTCTGTTGCTGGGCTGGGGGCTATTGGGCCATAGCAGCACCCCACGCGGTCTGGGCACAGTCATGGGTGCCGCCTGCTGTTTCCTGCAACTGAGCTCCAGGCCAGGGGAGGAGAGGGGACTGCAGCCTCTCGCCCGGCTGCTCATGGCCTATGGCTTGGTGATGTAGCCTGGAGAAGCAGCAGCCTGATGTGGAAGGTGCAGAGAGGTGGAGGGTGTTTGGCTGGAGTGTGGTGTTCCCTGGCCACCAGCTGTGCAGCATCCCTGGGTACCTGGGGCTCCCCTGGCAGCGCAGCATCCCTGGGTACTCGGGGGTGACACCGTGCAGGAGGCAGGAGGGGCCCCTCTCTCCAACTGACCATGGGGACCTGAGGTTCTTGATCCCTCACCTCGGTGCCCTGGCATCCAAAGGGACATGAGGGCTGCCACATGTCCAGGCTCCGAGGCCCAGCCCGGCTGTGCCACTGCTCCAGGACAGAGGGAAATGTTGTTCTGGCTGAGCTTGTGGCGCTGGGTGCCCTGGGGGGGGTCAGACCAAGAAGCAGTCATGCTTTTCCAGGCTTCAGGGCACTGAGTGGATGTCCTCCGAGCGCAGCACTTTGTAGATGACCCAGTACAAGATATTGAAGACCAGGAAGGTGAAGGGGAAGACGGCTCGGGAGATGGTGTCAATGCGCTTGGCCCGGTCGGTGTAACACCTGCGGAGGCTCTCCCCTTCCCGCAGCAGCATGCCGGCCGGGGGGGTGCTGTAGATGCCAGGGCCCTCCCCAGCCCCATCCTTCGGCTGCAGGCAGTGGCCCAGCCCGTAGCCTCGCAAGTAGAAGCGGCTCTCACGGACAAGCTCTTCCTCCTGGCGAAGGGAAAGGCTGTCAGCCAAGGCACCCCATGGGCACTGATATTGTGGGGTGTGTAGGCGTTTGTGGCTGCATGTCCTATACAGCCCCCTGCTACGTGATACGGTCCTGCAAGTGTCCAGCACAAGGTTAGATGCTTTCTGAGAAAGCCCAAAGCGTGCAGGCAAAAAGCACCGGGCTGCAGGTAGAGGCAGGCAGCGGTGTGCATGGGGGCGAGCACCAACCGACTGCCTTGTCATCCAGCATGTGTTTTAAGGGTTCATCCAAGGGCAACCCTGACCCTAGCAGCCTGACACTGATCCCCTCGGTCCTCCTCCCAGCTCTGGTTTGGAAACTTGGGAAGCCCAGCTCTCTGGCAGCTGGGGGATGGGGGTGAACTGGCGGCGGGGGGGAAGTGGGTACATGGGGGTGCAGGGCACAGCAGTGCAGGGTGCACTGGGGTGCAGAGCACATAGGGGTGCAGGGCTCATTGGGGTGCAGGGAGCTTGGGGGTGCAGAGAGCTTGGGGGTGCAGGCACTGCTCTGGCAGCTGTGTTTGCTGCAGGGTGGAAACGTGCCTGTGCTGGTGAATAGGAGGGGGGAGGCAGCTTGCTGGGGCAGAGCAGGGCAGGGATGCAGGAGCCTGGCTATCATCAGGGCTCATCCCTGCTCTGCCCCACCGGTGCCATATCTGGCTGTGGTGGGTCTCTTCTCCCAGCGTGTGCTGCAAGCCAGCCCCTCACCTTGCACCATGCTCACACGCAGCCCAGGTGCCAGATCCCAAATGCCATCTCTCACCCTCCAAGACACGGGGAGCAGCCTCCTCGCTGAGGTCAGCCTGCGCAGGTGCTCAGCCGGCAAGGGGGCTCTCATGCGGAGAGCTTGCACCCTGGCATCTTTATTTAACTCGGCTAATCCACCAACTAAGCAAGATTTCTCAGTGGGAAGAGCTGCAGCTCAAATTGCTGAGATTAGTTCTCATTTGCAGTGGACTTTTATCCTCCTGCACCAGGCTGAGCACTTGTGGCCACCCTGGGGGGACGCAGTGTGGGGGAGCTGGGGTGCCCTGCATGCCCTGGGGGGCAGGAGCCGTTCCCACAGCCCCGGGGAGCCAGCTGGCCCAGCCAGAGTGTTTGAGAGAGGAAATGTCAGACTGGGAGTGCTGGTCCTCCCAGCTGGGTCCCTCTGGGCTCGGTCAGCCTTGGGGTGTTTATTGGGGGCCAAGGCTGGGTGCAGGGAGCTCCCTGGGCCCAGCTTTGCTGTGTCTGTGGGAGGGATATGCCACTGGGCTGCGGCACCCAGGCTGGGCTGCGTCAGGCAGCTCTGGCATGGGGGCTGTGGGCAGCGGGGCTCTGCTCAGGTCTCTGACTGAGCAGCAATTGGGGTGCTCCTGGCTGCACCCAGTGTCTTGCCAGCGGCACCCCAGAGTGTCTCTGCAGCCTCCACCGCAGGGCAGCTGCGCTTTGGCCTGTTTTAAGCCAGTAGACGTTTCCTGGGTTTGGCAGAGCATCCCTCACCCTGCCCCGGTTGGGTGGGTGTTCATCTCCAGGAGCCAGTGCTCAGGGGCTGTGAAAGGCAGGGAGCAAGGGTGCTGGGGGGAGCCAGGAAGCCTCTTCTGACATCCAAGGGCTGATGATGGCAGAGGGGAGGCTCAGGGCAGCCTGGCTTGGTGGGGAGGCAAGGATGTACCAGGCCTGATTTCCTCCCTGGAGCTGCGGTTGTCTCCCAGCTTCTACGTGCCAGCCTGGGAGTCCGCCCTGCCCCATCGCTCATCCCTGTGCCTCCAGCTGCAGAGTGCCCATGTGCCCTGAGCAACTGCCTGCACTGGGGTTACTGCACCCAGCCGCAAGTGCCCCAAACCTGCCTGCGCCAGGAAAGCCAGGCAGGCAGAGCCCTCACCCTGCCAGAGGTGTGGGCATGGCCTGGGGAGCTGAGCAGCATCCCGGGAACAGCCGTCTGTCTGCCCCAGCATCACTCACCCCTCAGCAAAGGGGGCTGTGCTTGTCCTGCTTTACAGAAAGAGACACTGAGGCGGGGAAATTTCCCCCAGGGAAATCTGCTCCATTCCCATCCCTTTCAAACCTCTTTTCAGCCCAGGGAATGGCATCTCCATCTCATGGGCACGCGCTCTGTGCAAATCACTGCCCTGCTTCTGCAGCCTCTTGCTGGCCCTTGGGGCCAGCTCCTGCGGGGCTTCTTTTGGCAGGGGGAGGGTGAGGCTGGCTGGGGTGGCACCGCACAGGGTGCTGCTGGAGGGTTGTGCTCTACCCGGGAGCTGGAGAGCTGTGAGAGCGTCGTGTAGGTGTGCTCGCCGCTGTGCCGGCCGCTCAGCTGCCGCAGGGACTCCAGGCTGGCCGTCCCGCTGCTCAGGCCCTTTTGGCATCCGACAGTGCGCACCAAACAGAAACAGGAGAGCGAGTGACGGATGGCTCTGCCCCAGCCCCGGGGACGGTGGCTCTGGGTGCTGGGATGGGGATGGCAGGGGGATGGGGGCTCCATGTAGGTGGGGAAAATCCCCCCCCAGCAGTGCCTGGGCACTGGGATCCATCTTCAGCATGTGCTGAAGGGATTTGGCTGCACAAGGCACTGCGAGCCTGTGCGGTGTGTATGTGTGCTTGTGTTTTCCATGGAGGTCTGGTGTCTCGTGGTGTGCTTACAGCAAGAAAATTAGAGTATAGCAGCCACGTGCCTTCCCTGAGCATCTCGTAGGCCTGATGCCTGTGGTGATGGGCTGAGGGAGGGTAGAGCTGTCCTGTGGGACCCTGCTTCTCCAGGCCTTGCTGTGCTGCTGTCTGCAGCCCAGACCCGGTCCCTGGGTGCCACCAGGTCCCCTTGGTGCTTTCCGGCCCTGATGCAGCAGTGAGCGCCTGTCACCACTGCGACACAGCGAGGAGCCTGGGTTTGGAGCTACAGCTAAGGGGAAAGGCTGTTTCCGCCACCCTTACTGTTTATTTTTCTGCTTTTTTAGAGGAAACAGAGCCCAAGGATATCCCATCAGGAGGACAGTGGCACTCTGAGTGTTTGTGCTCGCAGGGCCTGGGGCACCCAGGGATGCTGTGTGCTGTGCTGCTCAGGCAGGCAGACTGCGATGCCCGTGAGTCCCTGATGTGCCGGAGGGGCCGGCTGCAGGCCCTGGGCAGTGGGACACAGCCCAGCACCGAGCCCTGCCCTGGCAGCTGCTGAGAAACTGGCCCTGCAGTCCCGGGGTGTCCCATTGGTGGCTGAGGACAGGCAGACGTCATGACAGCGATGGGAAAGGGACTCACCATCCTCTGCCGCCGCTGGCGCCGGCGCAGGCGCATAAACTCCTTGTGCTGGCGGGAGATGAAGTTGACGGTTGCGTACTCCAACAAGGCGGCAAAGACAAAGAGCAGGCACACAGCCATCCAGATGTCGATGGCCTTCACATAGGAGACCTGTGAGGGCAAGAGGGGGCTCAGGGACCTGCTGCCTTCCACCTCGCTCATCCCCCCCCACTGCCAGCTTCGCTCCGCTGCCGAGGGGCACAGGAGCCCTCTCAGCTGGGACACACGGGCCAGAGCTCGCACGGCCGAGCAGCGCCGTGTTCCCCCTTGACACACGTGGTGCCATGCTATGGAGCCAGCTCTCCCCAAGGGAAAGCTGCCCCGGGGACACTGGGGGCAGCAGTGGGCACCTCGGGTGCCCTGAGCAGGCTGCAGCGTGGGAGCCTGTTACGGAGCCAGTGCTGACCTTGGGCAGGGAGGCACGGGAGCCGGCGCTCTGCGTGGTCATGGTGAGCACAGTGGTGATGCCCAAGCCCACCCGGGCCGGCGCCGCATCCATGTTGATCCAGAAGGAGACCCAGGAGAGGATGACGATGAGCAGGCTGGGGATGTACATCTGGATCAGGTAGTAACCCATCTGCCTCTCCAGGTGGAACTTCACCTCGATGCAGGTGAACTTGCCTGCAGGGAAAGATGGGTCTGATGGGCAAAAGGGACCCGCAGGCCATGGCAAGGGGGCGGCAGCAGGTCCCTGGGGTGCTCACCTGTGTTGTAATGCTTGGTGCAGTAGCCCAGATCCTTCTCATCCCTAAGGATGAATTGCGGGAGCGTCAAGCCCTCTGCCACCTGCACGGCCTCCTGCTCCTCCAGCCACTCAAAGATGAGGTCATTCATGGTGTAGCCAACTGGAAGGGATGGAGGGAGCCGTGGGATGGGTAGGGACATGAACCCCATATATCCTCACCCTGAACCACCTCTCTCCTTCCTGTTCACCTCTCTCAGAACCAGGGAAATGCCAGCCTTTGGGATGGGGTAGAATGGGATGGGATGGGGGGGACGAAGCGCAGCTTGAACCCCCCTAGGTACTCACAGCTCTCCAACTGCATGGTACACGTCTGGATGTCCATGGGGAAGTTCTTGAGGTCCATGGGGCAGGACAGGATCAGTGTCAGCCTGGAGGAGTCAGAGGAAAGGAGAGGGTTGCTTAGGACTGCGGCTGTTGGGCAGGGGAGAGCTGTCCCACAGGAGGTGAGAGGAAAGCTTTGCCTGCCCACTCGGGCACTGCACCAGAGGGGAAGGGTTCTACCTAATGCTGTATAGCACATTGCCATTCTTGAAGATGCGCAGCAGCTTGTTGTCGGTGGTGACCTCATGGAAATTGGCCCCTTTCTCGTTGGCAAAGAACAAGTCTGGCTTCCAGATGGAGTCGAGCATGGAGGGGTCAAGGTCGAGGGAGTCGTCAGGGTACTCGCGGTAAGCCAGGCGAGGGTCGTTCCACTGCTGCCGCAGGAAGACATTCACCCGGTAGTCCTGGGGCAGAGGGCACCGCGTCAGCTGGGAGCAACCCACGGTGGCCAGAGAGGAGGAGGAGGAGGAAAAGATGGAGGAGCAAGAAGAGAGGGAGGAGGAGGTGGAAGGGGGTGTCTCTGTCGAGGCTTAGCCTGCAGGTTCTGCCTGCCTGACACTACCCATGCACGGGGCAGGGGCAGCTCAGGAACTTTCGAATATCATTGTCAGCCAGGGGAAATTAAAAAGCCAAAGTCACAGCAGCCGAGAGGAGAAGGAGGAGGAAGACCAGTGGCTGCTGCCTGCAATATTCCTTGCAGAGTTCTGTGGCCCTGAGGGGGGTTGATGTGATGGTTGATGGTATTAAGGCTTTGCAGCAGCACAAATAGAGAATTTTTAGCCCTGGGACTTCCTCATAGGAGTTTCTCATGCACCCGAGGAGGCTGGGGATGGCAGGGACACAGAGCTCGCTTGTGTTGTACGGCACCTGCTGAGATTGTGAACAGGAGGGAGCTACTGCTGGCTGCCTCGCTCTGACCCTTCGGGGTGTTTCTCCCAGCTCAGGCGTGAGGAATGTGGCCCACACAGCCAGGCTCTGGTTAACTGATCCCAGAAAAATCGCAGCCATTTGCTCTGGCACTGCATGTCTCCACTGCATGCCAGGGCCAGCTCTGGAGGGCTCACAGGACCCCCGTAAGCATGGCCATGGGCTCAGGCACCGGGATCCACACGTTCACCAGCAGACCCACCCCCAGCCCCTAAGCGCTGGGAGAGGAGCCCGTCACGCTGGCAAAATCCTCACCATGGTGGTCTCGGTGACGGAGCCGAAGCTGTTGATGAAGATGTTACACGTCACGTTGACAGGCGGACCTGGAAAACAGCGTGAAGCCTCCTCTCGCCGCTGGCCAGGGAGACACGTGCGGCACGCAGGCACACGTGGGGATGCCGCCTCCTGCACGCGCTGCACGGATGGGCGCAGTGAGCATCCCCTGCCTGCCGGGGGTCCCCCCTGTCGTGTGCCAGGGTGAACCCCAGCATACCCTGCAAGCACTGCAGCTGCCCATGCTGCCAGGCAGGGCAGGCACACGCGGGGCAGCTGCAGTCGCAGGAGCAGCCGGGATTCTGGGGAGGGTGTTGGGATGGAGGGACATGGGTCAGGATCCTGCCCCCCAAACCCATACCTGCCCGTTCCCTAGTTTTAGACAGCTATAAGCGAGGGGCACTGCCAGATTTGGGAGCCTCACATCCTCCCCTTACCTTTGAAGTTGGGTCGAATCCGGGCATCATACCCCGATGTTCGTCCCATAAGCTTGTCCAGGAAATCAGAGGGTGACATGGGCTGGGGCAGGCTTCGGGAAGCAGCTTTAATCTCCTCCCGCCCTGAGACCAGCCTGCAGGGCAGAGGAGGCAGGTTAGCTATCTGCTGGCACCAGGGGTGTGCAGGCACATTCTGGCACCCTGCAGGGATTTCCAGCTCCCAGGGGAAGCAGTTGTGCCCGCGCCGCATCCACTCTGGTGCCGAGTCAGCGTGTTGACCCCGGGACTCTTTCCTTCTTCCACTGGGATGCCGGCAGCTTCCCCCCTTGCTTGCCACAGCCCGAGAGCTGTGTGCCCGAGTTTTGCCTGTCTCCCTGCCAGCAAATCCCCTGCCTGCCGTGTCCCCTGGCATGGCGTTCGGCACTGGGTGCCTCTCAGCTCCAGGGCTGTGGTGGGGATGGGGCGCAGTGGGCGATGGCCTCATGGATGGCAGCTGAGCTGTGTGATGGTGCTGGAGGGGGAATGTGAGGAGGGTCCCTCCCAGATTCAATCACCAGCCCCAGCTTGAGTTGCTGAGCAAACTTCTGTCCCCTGCCTGGCCCGGACTCGTGGCTTGGGGGACACAACATCCCCCCAAGCCATGGGCTGGCCTGGTGTGAGTGAGGGGATGCCCAGCAGCACAGCTGGGGTTGTGACACCTTGCCAGGGGCCAAGAAGATGTGGCAGGAGAGAAGCAGCAAAGCCCACCTCCGCACCAGCTGTAGCCCAGAGCTAACATGAGTTCTCCCACGTAGTGCTCCCAACAATGATGGAGACTTATTTAAACTGACCTTGGAGGGGATATTTTTGTGAACACATCTTAGCCTGCCAGTTTCTCTCCTTCCGTCAGTCTATAATGATCATTTCAAGGAACAACGCGAAAGACAGCTGCTCACCACATTGTCAGGCATGTGGCTGTGATGGAGAGGAATTAGTCGGAGACCTCCGGACACAAAGGGAGCTTTGAGCACACTGCTGGTGCTGCTGCATGCTGCTTCATAACTCTGCCAGGTCCATGCCCACTCCTGCTTGGAGCCACAACCCCTTTATCACAGGCAGAGGATGATGCTGGGAGCTAAGACCCCCTGGGGTCCTTGTTCCTACCTCCTTGTTCCTACCAACACACCTTATTCCTACCTCCTCTCAGGGGAGTGGGATTCATCCTGGAGGGGCTTATGTGCATCTTTGCCAGGTAGAAATGGCCACTACAGCCACCCCAGAATGATCCAGCTGGGCAGGTTTCCCCTTAATTGAAGCTGAGCAGCAGAGCATCCCTGAGACTGGTCCTGACCAAGGGCAAAAGGCTGAGAGGACCAGGAGCTGCATTAGAAAGGTGCACCTTTGGGAGGAGGGCTGCAAGAGGCCAGGGTAACAAGGAGTTAAGTCAGGCCTTTGCCTGCCACATAGCTGTGAACCATGTCCTCCTCCACTGGAGAGGAGGATGAGGGTTCTCCCCACAAGCATGCAGGAGGAAGGCTGCCTTGGCATGGCAGCAGCTACCTCCTTGAAGAGGCTCAGCTAACTGGGCAAGCAGCTGCAAATCTGCAGCCCCAGTGCTGCTCAGACCTTGGGGACTTCAAGGGGTGCAGAAACACCCCGGGTACAGCCACCTCCAGCAGCATCTCTGGCAGGGCTGTGCTGGCACACCGTCCCTGGGCACATGCCCTGCATCCTGGCTCTTCTCAATGTTTGGCTGCAGGTCCCCAGTTTGGGCACTGCCTGCCCCGGGGTACTCTGCCACTAACCTGGCCCGGGCACTGTGGGGCTCTGGAGCTGAGCACCTCCGTGGAGCGAGGGGATGGCAGGGCTGGAAAACGCTCACATCTGCCTAAAAATGCCACCCCGAGACAAGCAGTTTCCACAAGTGGAGAGATGACATTTTGATATGATTTGCCCCCCTCCCCGCCACAAATGCTGTGGTTCCCCCCTGCGCTGCTCTAGCCGTACTGGCTGAGTGGTGGGAAGGGTGGGTGGGAGGGGACAGGGACCAGGCTCAGCCCAGGGGCACTGCAGCCTCCCCATCCCTCCCTGCCTGGCCTGCTCTCCCCGGCATCCCACCTTGTCCCAGATAGCACCCAAGGTGGCCAGAGAGGGAAAAAGGGATCTGGGGGCTTTGGATTTTCTACCCAAGTGGGCCAAGACTTGTTCCTGCACCCATGGGACCTGAGGGTACCCACTGGCCTGGGCGGCTGGCCGAGTCAGGGACTGTCCTGAGCCCCCCCCCAAACACCCAGAGCCAGGAGTGAGTCTGGGCATCACAGGGGATTTGCAGCTCTGGAGAAGGAGCTGCCTGGGCCATCATCTGGCTCAGCTCGCCCCTTCTCCCACCGTGGCCGTCCCTGGGGCCAGGGGGACCGTTGCGGACCCAGCACTGGGACAGGGGCTGCTGGGGACAGGCAGAGCCCAGCTGTGTGCGACTGAGGCTGGAGGGGGGGGTCTAGTGGGTCCCCGGGGTGCTGGGTCAGGGTCCCGGGGAATGGGGGGGTGAGACCAGATTTGGGGAAGCTCCGGCAGCCTGGGGGGAGGTCCGGATTGGGGCTGGGAAGGTTCTGGCTTGGGTGGGGGGGGAGCCGCCCCTGGAGAGAAGTCTGGATCGGGGGTGGGGGCGCGGGTCCCGGGGCTCCTCCGGGTCTGGGAGGGGTTGCCCGGGTCCCGCAGGAGAGATCCGTCTCCGAGAGGCGGTGATGCCCGGGTCCCGGAGGGGAAACGTGGCTCCCGGGGGATGAGGGGTCCGGGTGCTGGAGGAGGGGGGATGCCGGGGGAGCGGCGCGGAGAGCGGCGACCACCGCAGCCCCACGGCCCGCGAATGGGGGGGTGGGGGGGAGCCGCCCCGCCGGACACGCAGCGCCGAGCACCCGCGCCGTGCGCTCACCTGAGCGGGCCGCGCCGGGGCAGGAGGCAGCCGAGGAGGAGGAGGAGGAGGAAGGCGAGGGCGCCAGCCCGGAGAGCGCCCATCCCGCCGCAGCCCGCAGCCCCGCCGCCCCGGGCGCACGGGCATGACCCGGCCGGCGGCGGCGGCGCCCCCGCTCCCGCTCCCGCTCCCGCCGCACCGGGGCCGCCGCCGCCGCCGCCTCTGCCGCCGCCCCCCGCCCGGTCCCGCTCCTCATAGTCCGGGCGAGCGGGAGCCCGCCGCGGGGTGGGCGCCGGCCGGCTGCGGGCCCCGGGAGCCGGGCGGAGCCTCGCCCCGCCGCGGCGGGGAGGAGGCGGGCACGGCGGCGGGGAGCCCTCACCACTGCCGCGGGGACTTCTGCCGCCCCGTCGGGGCTGTCCTGGCGCCCACGTCCCCCGTGGGGGCTCCTCGGCGCGGGGCGGCAGGGCCCTGCGGCAGTGCTGGGGAAGGGAGGCAGTTCCTGCGGGGTTCGCGGGGCTCCAGGGATGCACCGGGGTCGGGGGGGAGGGGGGGGTTGACGCGCCGGGATTTCGGGATATGGCAGGGCTGAAGGCTGCGCTGGCGGCGGGAGGGCTGTGCAGGGGCTGGGGGATGCCCGTCTGAGTGGGAGGAAGCGGCTGGGAGCAGCCGGACGCCTTTCTCCTTCTGCCTGGCCTGGCGGTGCCTGTCCGCGGGCAGGATGGGGCACACACACCCCGGGGGGCTCAGCCCTCCTGCCGGCCCCCCCCCCCGCCGTGCTCGCCTTGCCCCGAGGCTCAGCGGATGGGCAATCCTGTCCCTCAGGAGGGGCAGGTAAGCTCCTTGGGGAGAGCGAGATGGACAGTCATGTCTGCGTGATGTGGGGAGCTGCATGGGGCTGCCAGGAAGAGGGAAACCGAGTCAGAGAGAGGGGAGCTGCTTGTTAAGTAGAGACGCACAGGCAGGGCTGGGACTCGGGCTACTCGGCTGCCTCTGCCTTGTCCCCTGGGGCCACCCGGCCAAGCCAGAGAGTTGCCTCTGGTCCTAGGCAATCTGTGATTAATTTATGAAGAAACAAATAGTATTCCTCCCCCCCCCGCCCCCAACAAAAAAAAAAAAAAAAAAAAAAAAGAGAAAAGCACAGAATAAATGATTCCCGGCGGATATGTCATTCAGGTTTCCGTTCACCCTACTGTGGCTAGCTCATCTCATTTATTTGAATTAATTACAGTTTGGTAATGGCTAGGAGCCGCCATACGAAGCCATTGCTGCAGGGCTCCGCAAAGGAGAATCTCAGCAGAGGAGGAGGAAAGCACGCTATTCCCCATGCTCCCTCTCTCCCCAGGGCAAGCGAGGGGCTTGGGTCTGTGCTGGCTTCTCCTCATCAGAAAGCCAGCGCAGGATTTTGAGAGCTCCCTGCCATGGGAGCTGCTGCAGGGAGGCAGTGAGAGTGCGAGCTGGGTATGTGAAGCCGAACCTGGGCACCTTGTCCAGTGCAGGGGAGAGAACAGGAGGCTGTAGGCAGTGGGCACTCAGGAGTCCTCATCCCCACTCCTTGGCTCTTCCAGCACCAGGAGCTGGGAGAAGTCTCCTCCGATTACCATTGCCATTAATGTTTATGGGGCCTCGGTGCTGAGAGGTGCAAGGCAGGATCTGGAGCCTTGGGGCGCAGAGCAAACGCACACTGCATGACAGCTCCTCTTCCAGAGGCTGTCAGAGCTAAGTGGATCTGACACCGTCGGGAGGAGGGGAGCCAGCCACATCCTCTCCACCCTCTGGGGAAACTGAGGCACCCATGCAGTGAGCCTGTATCCATGTCTACATCTGCTGAGGGGCCTGGGGGTGGTTGGAGTGGCTGTGGAGCTGGTTCCGCAGGCTGCCATAAGCGTGGGCTCTGAAGATAAGCAGCCACAAGCCTCAGTCGCATGTGCTGTGGTCAGCAGGGCACTGGGCCTGAGCTAACGAGGCCCTTGGAGAGGCTGTTGAAGCCAATGTGGCAACACTGCTCCCTGATGAGCAGGGCTGCGGGGGACGGGGCAGCCATAGCCCTCCTGCCCGCCTTTCAGCTCTGCAGGCAGCCAGCGCTGTGAGGAGCAAAGCGGTGCTGAAAATAAACTCTGAGAAAATGAAGGCAGCGAGCATCCCATTGGGAAGACGAAGGCAGCACTGATTTGTTGCTGGCCGAGTTGAGGGGATGGAGCAGAAGCTGCAAAAGCAGAGCCCGGCTGTGCCCAGGGGACCCCAGGCACTGCGCCGCATCCCGGGCAGGGGATTTTCGGGTGTGACAAGAACAGGCTTCTCCCCCCTGCTCCTCAAATCAGAGCATGAGGTGGTTTCTCTGTAAACAGTGAAGATGCCAGCCAGCAGGCAGCTGCCGGAGATGGGCTCCCAGAGGCAGGCGTCCACTGCCAGGCTGCCCTGCAGCCACTGTCCCCAGGGGCAGCAAGGCCGGGGGGGGGGGGGGACAAGGACCATGCTGTGACCCAGGGTGTGGTGCAGTTCCCAGGGCTGGCACTGGCATGGCCCTCTCTGGGGATCCCTCTGTCCCTGCCCCAAAGCCGTCCCCATCACGGCACCAGGCTCTGCTAATAGGAGAGACGCAGGCAGCAGAAGCTGGGGTTGCTAAGACAGGGAGGAAAGCATGATATCTTCTTTTCCCTTTCCCTCCGATACCTCTGAGGCTGCGTCAAGCTGTTCCCCTGGGGCCGGACTCCTACCTGCCCCAAATCTGCCTGGATCCAGACCCTGGAGGAGGGCTGTGCTAATCCACACCGGCTGGATCCTGACCCGTCTCTGCTGTTCAGCCCCTGCATTGCCACATCTACATATTTAATCCCGCTTGATAAACCCTGTAGTGCATTTGCAGACAACACAATTCCAGAGGGCCGAATGATTCAACTCCTTGGAAACAGGTTTGGTTTTTTTCCAGAGAAAAGGTTGAAAGGTGCTTAAGCTTGATTTCAGGATGAAGAGTTGCCTGTAAGATCAATTTTGTGCTGTTCATGTTGGGGAGAGGAGTGGGAGGGAGGGAAGCGGGTGAAGGAGCACTCCTAGCTCTTTGTGTAGGGCCACAAAAACCCCTGGGCTCCCCCACTGGTGGGGGGCTGGGGGCCGGGATGCTGCTGCCCACTCTGCTCCTTGGTCTGTCCTTCAGAGTCAGCTCGGAGCTTCGCCTCTGCCCTGGACCCAGGAGAACCTGCAGCACCAGAAGCTTCAGGTGGGCACAGGTTTGTGGTGGGCTTTAAGCAACCTGCTCCAACTCCCCTCCAGCAGGCTCAGCAGGCAGGGAGCTCCAGGGGGGGGTTGATAGCAGCTTAGAGGGAGGTCCTGTTTTGGGGGGCATCACGTACTCTGCATCTTGCAGCCCCAGCCCCAGTGAGGGGCTGGAACACAGGCCAACCTCCTGCCAAAGACAGGACAGTGACTCTGTGATTAATCAGGGGCAGAGGCAAATGGACTAGGAGACTGCTTATTTTAGTTAGAGAGCACCACACAGCAGGCATCTCCATCCCGTCTCCTAATTCCTTCCTGCTTTCTTTCCCCTCTCCCAAGGTTCCCTGCCAACCTAGCCAGCTCTGCACATCCTCCTCTCTCTTTTACCCTGGGACTGGGATTTTTGTGCAGAAACCAAAGCGTGAAGCAGAGACACTGAGTGCAGAGGACTCTGCCAGCCAGCCAGCATGCAAGCACTGCTGTGTGCTTCAGCTCTCTACTTATTGCTTAAATGCTTAATGAGCACTGGGGAGCAAAGTGCTCCTTGTGAAAGATTCAAAGCCTCTGTGCTTCAGTTTAGGGCTATGCCAGCTCCCCTTTCCATTTTTTAATCCTCTGACCAGTGAAAGCAAGGGAAAGCAGATGCAGTCTCATCGCTGTTTCTAAGGAAAGCAGCAAAACAAATAGGAAATCCCTGTGTGCCTGCATTCAGGGCGAGGACAGCTCCTCTGCCCCGGGGTGGACATGGTGGCAGTCTCCCCCAAAGCAAACATTTTGAGGCATCTAATTGGGTGTGAAATTAATGCTGGGGAAAACACATTCTTGAGGGTGGCTGTGTGTTGCTGTCAGCCTGCAGCTGTCCCTGGCTGCCTCAGTGTGCACCCAGCTTGGGTGCTTCGTTCTCATTTAGTGGGACATCCGTCTGGTTCCCCTGGGTCATGCTGGTCCCTATCTTTCCCTGGAGAATCTGTATAATGGGCTGTGGGTGCTTTCCTTTTTCAGCAGGAGCAAAAAATGTCTCAGGGCAACAAATGCATAAGGGGTGAATAGCTGCGGTGGTGCTTTGGTGGGGAAACTGGGGTCCTTGGGGCACCAGTGCATGGGCAGATCCTGAAACCCCACCACATATCAGCAGAGCAGATGGGCACTGAGTTTGGTTGTAGCCACCAGTGGGACAGGACAGGACATCCCCTCCAGTATCCCAGGAAGGTCATGGGGTGCCAGGGGAATTTGGGGCTGCTCCTAGGGGAAGGTGGCACTGTGGCATGGCAAGAGAGGACAGGATGGCAGTGGTACTGGGGAGCCCAGTGGGTGCTTGGTGCTTATGCGGCAGTGCCACAGCAGGACCCAGTGCCTCACCGAGCTGGGCAGGGTGACCCAGAGGAGATTGCAAGGTGAACTGAGACATTGGTCCCAACTCCAGCTAATGTCACTCTGTGATTTTGTGGCGCTTTTCCAGGCTAAAAATACCCCTGCTGTTGATGCGGGGCGGGTGCTGCGTGCAGCGGCTGCGGAGGGATGCTCCGTCCTGTGGGACCAGCCAAGGGCAGCCGGGCGGTCGGGCTGGGGTGGCCCTGCAGTGGCCCTGGAGTTGGCCCTCCTGCTCCCCAAGCAGCCAGGTGCAGAGGTCACCTCTTCTCTCCTCCCGCTCTGAGGTAACCTGTCACCCGTGTCCAGGGCTGTGCCAGATGCGACCGCTCAGCCAGCAGTCCCCAAAATGCTGTGTGGGGAGAGAGCATCCTCAGTCACCTCTCTGAGCTGTGTTTCAACTCAGCACAGGGTCCTTTGCTGACCCTGGAGGGTCATACCAGCTCCTCTGGGGGCTCCTTGGGAGCCATGGTTAGGACACACCGGCTCCTCTGTGTTCTCCCCGGGGTGCATCTGGACTATTTAGGGACAAGCCTGGGGGTGGGA